AAAGAGGACTAAACTGGCTTGCTTGGTAATCATGAAGGCCAGAACTCACATGTATATATGCGACCCTTCTATAGAATATCAGAAAATCACTTGAGAGATCTAAACGGCACGAATCAGGAACAAATGAAGACACTTTCCTTTGTAATAGTTTTGTATTCTATTCCCGTTACACACGCGGCGTCTTGTTCGATCGCGTTAGTAGGGACTTTTAGATTTGCACAACGACAACGTGGATTGCTACGATCGACGTCCTTTTTATGCACTGCCTTGAATGGACGTCACACGTATCAGTCCACGCAAATCTAAAAGTCCCTATTACCTGGTCTTATCAATCCAATCAATCATTTCAGTGCAGTTTTCCCATACGTCATGAATTCAACGCAATATGCTCATTGTTCATATTGACATTATTACTTTTCTATAATGTCACCCCCCCCCTTCCAATAATGACGAGGCCCAGTCGCTAAAACAGTTCCACGCCAGACAAAATAAAGACGCTTCGTATGTAGCCGACATCACAAGGATATTAAGAAATTAGTCAAAGACTCAATACTAAGAAGAATATGGAGTTATTACTGATACATAAGTTATCATGTCGACATGTTGTTTGAAGTCTATAAAGAATCGGTTTCGGGCCATCTCAACGCCGGCAAGGTATGGTATTACACCCTCGAAAATCTCAACTGCAATGTGGCGAATAATTATTGTAGTGATAAATGATATGACATCTATTTCAGCCTCGCTACATTGTGGGAAAATGATTCGACGATGTTCGCTTGATAATTCTTTCATTAAAGTAGCAGAAGATACGTTAGATATTGGAGTCGATGAAACTTGGGGCGGGACAAATATTAAAGTTTATCGGTGGAATCCATCCCCATCCCCTCCCCCTTAAAATATATATACAAGCCTTTTGAGGGAGAACCCCAAACTCCTTCAGCAAATCCTCGATTTCCTCTAAGTTCATATATTATTAATTATGATATACTATTTTTTTTTTATAGCGTAACTCGACTCAGCTGCACGAGTGAGTTCTCAGTCAATCAGGATGAAAGAATTTTAACTACATGTGTTATGTAGTTAGGGGATTGTATACATAATGGCAAAGAAACAAGCACGCCAGGGGCACTGTTTCTGCCATCGATCCTACTAAAATATTCTAAAATAGGCCTAATAAATCGTTAAACTGTTGCGCTTTCGACTGCGTTTCAAACATTCAAGGCAAGTCAAGTAACCTTTCAAAAGGATCACTGACAGAGCAAGGATTCTATGTGCGGTGGCGGTGAGGGAGGGAAAGGGGTGTGTTATCACATCTCTTTTCTTAGTGGTTTTTAGGGTCTCAGCTTACTGCCGGGGCACAGTTTGAAGGCACATTGTCATCGTTTACTTACTGTGTACTTTTAATAAGCAAGAGGGCAGTGCCGCTATCCCCGCCCACTCCCTGATCTGGAACTGAGCGAAATACGGTAATCACCGGGACATCATCACTCTCCAATCAATTTGATGAAGGTACACATACAGACATGCACCAAGTAAACACCCACGAGAATGAGTAGAAACGGAATGATAATTAAACCAAAGTGGACGCAGAGTGACAGCCTAGCAGAGTATTCAATGCATGGTTAAGAGATGACACGTAACCCTGACCATCCATGTCAGCACATTAATCAGCCTAACATTGCATTATCAAAGAGCATCTTGATCGATTACATTACAGGTAACGGCCCTATTGTAAATGTTGAAAGGAATACGAAGGAATGAATAATCTTCGCTGCCTCTTTATCATATGAATTAGTTGGGAGGTGGAAAGGAGAATCAAGTTACCCAAAAGTCATAAGTGCCCCCACTTCTAATGTGTGAGGTCCGTGTTTACTTTCAAAAGAGCCCCTTTTCCTTTGTCATAAATACCCCTTTTCCCTTCTAACCAGTGTCCCATTTTTTTGTAAGAAGTGCCCCTTTCCCTTTCCAATAAAAGCCAAATTTTCATCTCTGATAAATGACCCTTATGATTTTAATCGTGCCCCTTTTCACTTTTCATACATGTAAGTGCCCCTAGTAAAATACGATAAGTGCCCCTTTTCTTTGTAATAATTGCATAACTCCTCTTGCCCCGATTGTACTTGTATCTCTAATTAGTGCCCGTTGTACTTGTAGGTATGATCATTCCCCCCTTTTGTTTTGACAAGTGCCATTTTCCTTTCTAATAATTGCCCTTTTCTCTTCTGATAAGTGCCTCATTTTCTTTATTCCTTTTGCTGTCATATTATGGAGCGCAATATCTAGTTGTAAAGAATCGGAGCAGCTTTGTGTAGCAACAGGTACCCTATTTCTACCATCACGATAACAGGGAGTAGCCGCTCGCAAATTAATCTTCAGATAATCACCCACGACTGCAAAGAGTGTGCTGAAGGATGTTTCTTGGACAACGTCAAGAAAAAAAATGAAAATCATCCCTAATAATGTACTACATGGTAAGGGTATATACCAATGTCCACAAATTGTAATTTCTGCTTTGGTTACTCTTTGTAGGCGCCCCCCTTTTTTTCCATACGTTGCTCTTTTTGTTGGTGGATCCCACTTTGAAACTACTTGATACATCGTTCACAGAATGGATGGAATGACAGGATAATAATACAAGTATTCACAAAAGGATCCCATTTCATCATCGGTTCTGCACGATTGGATTGAAAAGAAGGTTATATTCCAAACACTCTAACGTTTCTCAGATCAGCTTGAGCAAAGCTCTGTATTGAGTGATCACCCTTCCACGTCTCTATGAGGCTCTTTCGCACCATCCAAGGTCACTCCGCGAACTCAAGAACGGTCGAGTATAACACATAACCCCATGAAGAAATCCCCACTCCCCACTTACATTATGATTCCTTTTCAAAGTACCAGGGGCACATATTTTTTCATTTTTTCTTTTCACATGATGTTTACTTAAGATATGTGAGATTTGGGGGACTTGGGCATGCGACCTCCCCCCAACCCGCAACCCCATCCACTAGTGTCAGGGTGCACTTCTTTCTTATCTTGATTTACCATGTTCAAATGCCCATGAATTTCCATAGCGTTTAAAACAATGGTACAAAACCCAAATGTCAGAAATTAGGTTTGAAAAGACGATCGATGCACATCCATTTCAAACCTTTAAAAGGCCGAAACAAACGGTTGTTCCCCCCGAGAAAGCAAGCAATACTTGAATCTTAGATTGCATCCTTCTTGAACTGCTTGCCATCTTTCACAAAGATACAGTTGCAGACTCCAGAGGACAAGAGGTCTGCCCTTCTAGAGTTGCCCCTCATCTCACACCCACTCGAGGAAGTATCTTGATTTCAACATTAGCTTGGTTGTCTAGTTTACCTCTCAAGTACATCTGTAACGGTTTGGAACACGATGGAACTGCATGAACTCGTTGCCTACAAAGATGAAAATGGGAGGGCGTCGAAGATGTAAAAAGACAAGTAAAAAGAACATGGAGAAAAAAAATGAAGAAGATCCTGAGAAATCAAGAAGGTCTCATTTGGAGTACATCCGAAAGAGACGAAAAATGGTAATTTTATTTTAGAATGATGTAAACCCCCCTCCCTCTCGAAAATCAGTTTTTAGATTCAAATGGTCGAGGTAAAATAAATTTCTTGTATCTTATTGATAAGTTCTCGACGACCTTGGGCAGTGACAAAGGATTCATTTCCTATTTGCAGTAGTCTTGTCACGTCTGCTCTCTCCCTTGGTATTTTACCCATTAAACCGCATTCTCCTGTGATTATACCTGTAATCACTCTACAAGAACCATGACATTTGGAACGTGGCAAAAAATGTGTAGCTATTCATTGCATTCTAAATTGTGTTTGGTGGTGGTTGGTTGGATCTTTGTTCATTGATGGGTATGAGTCAGTGAAGGATTATAATTCAATGAATTGCGACTGTTATGGGGTTTTGATCTTGCATTTATTGTGTATGAACATGAATCGAATGAAAAAAAATCACACTTCTCTCGTGGCTCATTTGGCTTGATTTAGTGCCTTCATTGGATTACAAGGAAGGTTGTAGAAGGGGAAAAGCGATCTAGCGCTTTATCGCAAACTGTTTTTATTTATTTTTTTAACTCTAGTCCATCGTACCTACCGAACATTATTAATATTATTTTGAGGACATTTCTATCATATTGTTTGTATTTAATCTGCGGATGACATTCTTTTCTCTTATATTCCATGTTTGTTATCATCTGTATTTAAATAATTTATACAGCGTCTTCCGGAGCTATTAATCTGCAAGAGCTAAACATTTTCCCAGTATTCCCCTCCTCAATAATAATAGTGGGTTCTTTAGCGCTCATAGTATCTGTCAAACTTTACACTGCTGGTGCTACACAATACTCCGGCTTTAGCATGGCTGCCAGTATGGCGCTCTAGCATTTAAAGTAATTAATTCCTACCAGGTCTTCTTTTACCTCACCAGGGTCGAGTGTGGCAAAATGCAGATTAATGTCTTTCCAAAGTAAATTAGTGCCACGGCGAACCATGACGATATACAGTCTGGTGGCTTATCCACTAGACCACAACACGTCTATACCATTTCTTCCTATTTTCATTTACTAGCATCACAATCATTTTTTAGAATCATCCTAATTATTTTTATTAATTTTCCTACCAACATGTATCCATGTTTGTTACCATCTTTATTTAAATGATTATTAATCTATTAGGCAAACAAAAATATATATATATATTGGTTGTTTAATAGTACATGTATACCACTAAAATGTGGTTGCTGCTGGAAACCACACGTTCAAAGTGAAACGCAAAAAAACTCAAGAATGGGTATATGCGGCTACACAAACAATAGTTTACCCAACATTTTGAGTTGTTTCTAATTATAAGTGGATTATGCATTAGAGCATTCAAAGCCCAATCTTATTCGACCAACACTTGTATGACTTGTATAAAAAATTGTCTATTTTTTTTTGTTTCTCTCTATGCAGTGTAACGGCGGGAAAGGAACGGATGTAATGTATAAAGAACTCTACAACACGTCTACGACAAAGATCATGGTCCTAGGTGCAGGATGTTCCATCGTTACCCAGCCAACGGCACAAGCATCACATCTATGGAACCTGCTTCAGGTAAGTAGTGTTCTTCGAATGCTTGTGGATATAGTTTATTATAGAGGCAATATCTATCGTAATACCCAACCAAAAGATCAAGCTATGGAACCTGCTTCAGGTAGGTAGTGTTCTTTGAATGCTTGTTGATATAGTTTGTTATAGAGGCAATATCTATCGTTACCCAACCAACAGCTCAAGCATCACACTTATAGAACCTGCTTCAGGTAAGTAGTGTTTTTTGAGTGCTTGTGGATAAAGTTTGTTATAGAGGCAATATCTATCGTTACCCAACCAACAGCTCAAGCATCACACTTATAGAACCTGCTTCAGGTAAGTAGTGTTTTTTGAGTGCTTGTGGATAAAGTTTGTTACAGAGGCAATATCTATCGTTACCCAACCAACAGCTCACGCATCATACCTATGAAACCTGCTTCAGGTAGGTAGTGTTCTTTGAATGCTTGTGGATATAGCTTTTTATAGAGGCAATATGGGATTTTGACAAAATCAGGTCGTGTGAAATCATGGAATCTGGTGTTTATAACAACTCATTTTAGAAAGGAAAGGGTAACACCTGACATCTTTTAAATCATCAGCTAGAAGACATGCTAGTTGAGAAGAAATGAACAACAACGGTCGTAGATTTCACGTAGCATGGACAAAGAATGACACACTGCTCAAATTCGATTTGTAAGATGTTTGATCATTTTGTTAAGATGCCGATGTACGGAAACAACAACCCACTTTTTAATATAAAGCTGTAGTTTCTGGGGCGGATCCAGGATGTTTCACAAGCGGGGGCACAACATTCCTAAAAATTTGCTGAAAAGAATAAAACATTATCACCTCAAAGGGAGGGGGCACATTTTGGACTTAGGTACTAAAAGTATACCAGTTGGGTTTCAAAGGAGGGCGGGGGCATGGGAGGGGGGTATGGGCCGGTTTCGCTTCGCCCCCTAAACCCGCCTGTATGTAGGATAACACTGGACAAGTTGACAGTAATATATATTGTATATACAAGAAGGGCACGACACGGCGTTGAAATCAATTCAAAGTATAACTCTGATACTTTGGCAATTTTTATATTTCAAGTGGTACAAAAGGACAGTGAGGAAATGGGAAGAGTCTATATTAGATTAGAATGTAAGTGAAGATTCCAGCATTTGAGATCTTAACCTATACAGTAACTAATCAAATAAGCCGGATATCGGATGTTTTGCGCAGTGTGGCGACTCCTCTTCCGATTTTGACCTAGATTGATAAATATGAATAAGGCCGACACAATCTCTGAGGGTTTTTTAGGTTTGAAATGGAAAGGCATGATTAGATTTTCATTAAAAGGAGCGAGTATTTCGATGCAATTCATTGTGATGAGTAACTATGGGGATAAACGAAATTAATTTTCCATCGTCGTGAAAACATCGGGATAGAGAAAATGACAATTCAAAAGACATCAATGACATACATTTCGATTGCGTGTGACATTCTCCGGTTTGATCCTTCAACTGAGTGCTGGTTCGTGTTTACAATATCAGCTATAATCTACTGATGATTCCTGTTTCATCATGGCAGATAGTTATTAGTGAGGATTAGGTATTTTCCATCACCTTTTTTTATTCAGTTGTATCTGTGTTGAATAAAATTTCATTTATCAGAAAAAGGGCCTTCAACTGGTACAATAATAATAATACAAAAAGACAACGAGTTTGAATTCGAAAACAGCAATAGTTGAGCTGTGAATTTTTGCAAGGCTTCACTTGAAAATTAGATGTTAGGATTCACAGATAAAACTATTAGAATATAATCCATAGGGTAATGGGTTTGCGTTTCGAAAATGGCAGTGTAATGAATAATTTGACGGAAGGATAAATTGAGAAATTCGCTGTGTTCGAGAAGGAAATCAGATTCTCGGAAATGCAGCTCTCGTTCAGCAAAAAGGTAGGCATTAAGTTGTGTTTATAAGGAAGATAAGTTTTGAATTCTTGCTTGCATTTTTAAAACGAAAGTTTTACAGGTTCTAACTTTCCTTGATTTGAGAAAAATAGGAACCTTATTTTCTACTAATGTGTCTGTGATTTGATGATATGATATGATATGATAAGGTTTATTTCCCCAACATTTCAATGTAAAATAGGAAAATACTGAATGACCGGAATTTAATACAAGATGGTTGAAGACTTAGCTGGACTGATGATTGTCCCTACTTTTAAAATGCGGCTTTTATTGTTGCATATTAATTCCTTTTGTGCTTGTGATGTTCATCCCCCCACCCCACCCCACCCCACCCACCCCCAAATAAAACATATTAAAAAATTAAAAATTAAAATAAAACAAACAATGTCGTCAGCTACCGTAGCATCAATGTGGAGTTCACCTATTCTTTAGCAAAAGAAAAAAGAAGGTATGTTGTTTGAGTGATAAGGATATGCAACTACATTTAAGTTTAAACATCTTCCTTTTACTTTCCTAATTTTCTCTTTTTTCAGATGGTATGATTTAAAGTAAATCTAGAACGAGAAATAAATTGTTCTATTTACCACACACAAATTCTTCAAGATTTCTTTCATTTTTTAAACAGTTTTGTATAAGATGTTTTTTTATTTCCTCAATACCAGAAGCAGTGCATATAATCAACATCATGCAATTTACACCATTCTGACTTTACATCACATTCAGAATAATCAGAATACAATACAAAAGTATAATTCTTAATTAACATCATTTGCTAAACAAAACAACTCGTTCATACATATCCTTATTCGTTTAAAACAATAATAGTAATAATGATAATGATAAAGTCATTTCAGGTTCATTATTTCTTCTTACAAAACAAAAAAAATTAAAAAAATAAGTTAATGCTTGTACATGAAATAATATAATCTGTCAATATATTTTTTTAAGTGCTACTTTTGAAAAAAGAATAACTCCCCCAGAGAGAGAGAGAAAGATAGAATAAAAAATATAAAAAACAAAACAAAACAAAACAATCAATCAAACAAACAAACACAAATACAATGCAAAGAAGACTGCTCGGATATAGGGCTGGGAAATTGCTGCTTTCAAGTGTATTTATATCACACAGAACCTTCAAAGGCCTCCCATTTTTAAGTGAATGGAAAGATTATCCCTTTTTATTGCAAGTTTTTTTCCTATTTCCTATTTTATTTCCTAAATTTATCTTTTACTTCATTTACATTTAGAGGCTCTCCGTCCTCTCTGCTACTAAAAATCATCGATTTAATAAAAATCAGAATGTGGTTTAGTAAGTGCTCTTTTTTCATATTAGTCCCATTTCTTCCTATATGAATTTCTTTCCAAGGCAGTTTCTTAAGAATTGGTAAATTGAATTTATCAGCACATTTTTCCCAGAATCCTTTTATTATATTACATTCAAAACAGACATGTTGATAGGTTTTCTCCAGAATATTGCAATACGAACGCAAAATTGATGAAAACGATAGCTCACACATTGAGAAGTAACACCGGAGTAATAATAAGTACTGTATCAACTTCAAGCTGAAATGATTGTTATGATTATGGTTACTCTTGTTTTATAATGAAATCAGTAGCTTGGTTTCAATTATATGAATTTTGCGACCTCTTACCATATTGTCTCTCTTATTTTTCTTTTTCTTCTTTATGTTTGGGAATGATGAATGGTGCTCTTATGTAGATTAAAATAGCAAGGAAGGGCCATGAACATGCCATTTTAGCTCGTAAAAAATTATTAATGGAGGGAGAAAAATTGCTTATACACAGTATCACATTCTCGTTCATTTAATTATTATTGTTGTTATGTAGATCGAAACAGCAAGGAAGGTGCACGAAAATGCCATTTTAGCTCGTAGGGGGGGGGGAATTGTTTATACACAATATGACATTCTCGGCCATTCAATTATTAAAACCTTTCAGGTCAATGCATGAAAAGGGATGACGAAATGTGGGTGTGTGCTTTGTCTTCATATACAGTAACAATACAAGCAATAGGCCCTATATTCGAGGGTAATGAGCTCTTCCAATAGATGGTGTAAAGTTAATCATTGCCATTTCATTTCCCTGGGGAAATATACTTATTTTTCCCCCTCGTCTATAAAACAATTTGCAGAAAACCATCACATAGACGACATGCTCTCTAAAGTGGAGCGGATATGTCGGGCGGATCCAGGTTTATTTTAACGAAGGGGGGGGGGGGGGGTCCAAGGTTTCCTTGAGATTCAGAAATTCTTCTGACAAGCGGAACAAAAATTGTATCACACTTTCAGGAGCGTACGTTTTTTTCTTAAAATCGCTGACCCCCAAAACCGGATTCTCACATTTTTCGCAAACTCATTTTTACCGCAAACCTGCTAAAAAAATTCTGACGGCCCTTCCAACTGTCTGATAGGGAGGCATCATCAATCTTTCCTTACGAGTTCATAATTGTTATTTTGTTTATGTTTTCTGTGGGGGTAGGGTGGGGGGTACACGTCTCCTTGTCCCCTGTATCTTCCTATCTTTGAAAGTAGATTGAAAGGCAATGCATGGTTCGTTATAGCCTTGCCCAGTCGCATTGATGACCATGACTACTCGCGCTCCAATGCGTTGAGGGTATCAAACCCTTATTAGATTATCAATAAACTGACACAGATCTATCAGTCATAATTTGTATATCTAGATCTAAGAGATCGATGAAGTATATACATGACAGTATATATACCACAGACCAGAGGGGGCAAGGATTATCTAATAACACCTTTTATTATACTGCTTCATTCGAGCAGAACTATGCAGAAGCGCGCTACCGTCACCCCACCCCCTCCCACAAACACAACACAAATCCACACAAACACACCTACAAAAGAAAATGAATAAGTAAATAAATACACTAGAGATATACACAGGGTAACTTACCTGCTCCAAATAGGGTATGAAAAGCATGCCCTTTAAAGGTTTGTATACATTAAACAAATAAATAATAACGACATTCAAGCGTAAGTGCGCTACATCAACCCCCTTCCCCACCCCGCATTTTTTATTTTTGTTCTATTTCTATTTTTTAAATAATTTTCTTTTTACGTCAAACCTTGTTTTTATATTCCTTTATATACTCACAATAAACCTGTTCCAGATTTGTCAAAAAAACGTTTGGCTGACCTGGTTACGAAATTGATATACATGAAGGACCGCTCGTCATTATTACATGTTTTCGAGAAGAGATATTAACATGTCGATATTTCTTGAGCCTATATAGTTCAGTTTATGAAAGGTAGACCTTTGATTTAGTGATTGAAAATCTAACTGATTGCTTTCTAGTACAGTGGCGAAGCGTGGGATCTGATTGTGAGGGGGAGGGGGCGCTACCATAATCGGGGCGGCACCGGTTTTTCTCGGTGCATGAAAGATGAATTTAATATGTCACCGATTAGGTGAAGGTATTGGAAGGAGGGTCTTTCATGTTATTTTCATGTTCGTTCCAGCTTTTCCTTTATTTCTCTCTCGTTTGTACATTATGTTGAGTTTCGAGGGCACGCGCTCATCTAGCCTATAACAAAAGGGGAAAAGGTTAACCAGGCGAAGTATTAACACCCACACACAAGAAAGGACTTATGTAAGTCTGAATTTTATAGAAATACGGTTATAAATGCGGCAATTAATACTTGCTGTCTTTCGGCTGGTGACGTTAAAGGTCGATCCCCAGACGTAAATAATCATATCTAATTGATACACGTCTGTAAAAAAACAAAAAAACAATTACACACACACACACACACACGCGCGCGCGCGCGCGCGCACACTTGGAATGAATTGCGTCTTGATATTAGATGTTCAGGGGATTTGGTGCAATAAACACAGGGACTAAATACATTTAAAATGATGGAACAATAGAATTGATATGCTATGATAATTTCAACTGTACATGTATGTATCATATTTACATTTGTATCAACTTCTTTAGACGTGAACCAACTATTTACCCATTACATGTGGGTATATATATTTTTATTATTCTTTTCCATTAATAGAATCTCCCTATTAATTTCCTAATTTCTACTTTTCATGTTGTATATAACCCTGTAATTGTTTTTGTTTGTTGTTGTCACCATTTCATAATGTAACATCTTTTTAGTTATATTTTTAACAATCCGGTTTGAGTAAATTAAACTTCAGTAAGAGGAAGCAGCAAATGGTGCAATGTCTTCTAGTTACTGATACAGGCATTGCATCACATTTAAGAAGAACAAAATATTTTGTTGTTTGTTGCTTGGCCTGCTCAAAGACCAGCAAAATGTTGAACTTGTTAGAAATTGCATACTGAATAAGCAAAACCACATTAGGCACCTTGTGAGTTATCAGAAATAATGTTTTTTGTTTAGAGTGTGAATTGAACAATTACCCTTATATTACAAAGCAATAGTTGCCTAGCAGTTTTCCAAATAATATTTAAAACGATGAAAAAAAATTATAGTCCCGTTCACACATTATAAATAGTGCGATTTGGATCGCGATGCAATTAAGATCGATTTTTAAATCTCAGTTGTGAACGCCCCTATTGTTAAACATTTATACCAAGTATTTTTTGTTAACAAAACTATTTTGCGGTTCCCTCTTTGCCGTCCAGTTGTCGTACTCATCAGCCTCTCCCAAGTTATCAGAACGGGACCTCTTTCCAAAGTTCTTCAGGATGTTCCCTCCTGAGACGGTCTTCAATGTCGTCAAGTTCGCCATGTTACATCATTTCAACTGGCGTAAGGTCGCCACTTTGCACCAAACCATCGAACTGTTCTCACTGGTAAGTGACGTATTGAATATCCATGTAATCAAAATTATTTATGTGGCTTTTTGTTGTCAAGTTCGTGTTACCTCACTTTAATTGCCATAGGTCGCCACTCGACATCAAAGTACATTATTATCAGTATTTCGTTGTTGTTTTGGTTGTGTTTTTAACTCAGAGGCTAACACATGACGATACGCAATACTCTCTAACGTAGAAACCCACAGAGAGTATTAGCCGGATTTCTTTTATTAATTTAAACGGCAACCAATATTATTATCTCTTCGACACGAGTGGCATTGACCTGCTAGCCTACATGTTTATTGTGTGTGGATGATCTTAAGGTTTTCCAATAATTCAATTTTATCCGATTTAATTTGATTTGATTTTATATAATACTTTTCATCATGTCTAAACCTGCAGAGCTCTACCAACTATTAATATGCCCCGATCAGTGACAATTTATTATACAGGGGTCTGAGCAAGAAGGGTATTTTCCACTACGTGGATTTGTCCAATTTTACATAAAAACACTACTCAGGTCATATTGAACACGTATCTAAATGTATTTTCCTTGAGAATTTCCGCAATCTAATTGACGCTATACAAATAGTCACAATAATCGTTATTTTGTATTGCAATAGTTTTTTCAAAAAATTGTTTATATCCCCCTTCATTTTTCATTGCCCTGCTTGCTCCACAATTGATACTTCCATCGTAGTAAAATCCTTGTGTATGCTGGGAAGATCATGAAGGTCACAGTTCTAATCTAATGCGATAACCAGACCAATGCAATTTAATTGAGTATATCTTTCCGTTGCGAAATCTAGATCACACCCCCCCCCCTTTTTTTTCTCTCTCTCTCACTCTCTCCCTTCCCCCTCCCCCTCTCTCTCTCTCTCTCCCCCTTCTCTCTCTCTCTCTCTCTCTCTCTCTCTTCAACAGAGATAGTGGCGTATCAAAAATCATGAGATGTATCTATAATTCATATGAAATATAGTAAAGTGTAAGTTGTGCTTAGAGCTTAGAATGTGTGTGATGGTTAGCAAACCAGAGTGAAAAGGCATAGTTGACCTCAAATTACATATCGAAACTGCAAAAAGGGGAGTTTTGCTTTTTCTTTTGTTTTACTTCATGGGGATTAAACACCTGTCTCTTGTTTTACAAATATTTCAAGTAAGCTTATACAAAAATTATATATCAAGTTAGTTAGTAACTTACTTTATTTTCTTACTTAATTGCCCACTTGTTTACTTACTCAACCACTTACTCTCTTACTTACTAATGTCCTTTGGCAAGACATTGATCTACATTTGCCACTCTCCACCCAGGTGTTAAATGGGTACCCGGTAGGATGCGAAAGTTAATGTGGTTAGATAAGCAAGTGGCGCTTGTAAAATGGCGACGTGCTGGAATGCTCCCCAGGGAGTGGAGAATGTGCATACATTTGTGTGCGAGTAAGCATGAATCCGATGACCCGGGTAATAATATATATCTGTAAAGCGCATTGAGAGGGCCTGCGGTCCTGAAATGCGCTATACAGTGCGTCCCAGAAAAAACGAAACCGAGAAGTATCGATGATTTACCATAACTTAATCACATTATCTGAGTAGCATCACATGAAAGAGGAGACTCTAAGCTTTCCAAATATGTATCATTTATTAATTATAGTTGTGATAAAGTTATGATAGAACATCGATACTTCTCGGTTTCTTTTTTTCTGGGACGCACTGTATAAGGACGAACTATTATTATTATTATTATTACATATTTACTTACTCACTCACTCATTCACTTTATAACTGACTTACTTGTTTACTTACTTACTTACTTGTTCAAATACTCACTCAATCACTCAATCACTCACTTACTTACTTGCAGGCTTACTTACTTACTTACTTACTTTATTACTTATCTAATCATTCTTTCATTAATTTATTGAGATATATTGCAACAGGACGATCGCATAAGCACAAGCCTGTTTTACTAGCCTATTTTTAAGTACTTTTCTTCTTAATGGTCGGGTATCTATCTTTCCTTTGTTTTACCTTATGCTATCCAATTGAGGATATTCAATTCAGGGCCCTATCTCATTAAGATTTGATATTAATCGCAATTTATTTACGATTGATATCAATCGCAACTTTGTACATGGAAGATAGGAGACTGCCCAACTCGCGATTGATTGGAGGACTTGCGATTGATTTGGATCAATCGCAACTTGTATAAGACGGGGCCCAGAAACTCCAATACTGTCAGATTATTGACGTTTGTCGATTTCAAAGACATCAATATTTCTCGCTATCTTACCCATCTACTCAGTGTGCACATAATCAATATCGCATTTAATGGTTTGAGGTGTTACATGATATCAAACCAATCTCTTTCCAGGTAATAAATAGGATTAATCGAGGACGTGAATTTGGGTGAAATGTATTTTTTTTCTCGGTATTTTGTTGATCTATTAAAACCTAGTCAGTAATCAATTTTATTAATCGGCATTTGGAATCTTTATCCCGTTGAGAATCTTTCATTCAGAAATATCAATACTTTCATTTGATTGACATTGATATATTTTAAAGTCATTAATATGTCTGTCTGTCTGCCTCTCTCTCTCTCTCTCTCTCTCTCTCTGTTTGTCTCTCTCTCTGTCTCTCTCTGTCTATGTCTCTCTGTCTCTCTCTGTCTCTCCCTCTCTCTCTCTCTCTTTCTCTCTCTCTCACTCTCTCTCATTCGCTTACCCATCTACTTACCTTGCACCTAAACAACATGATCAATATCACATTTTATGGTTTATTGCGATACATAATTATTTCCCAATCAATCTTGTTCACGGCCATGCAGACAATACACGACGTTATTCAAAGGCACGACTTTGATAGAAATGTATTTTTCTCGGTGCATCTAGTTGGTCTATTAAAACCTAATCGATAATCGTTTTTTATTGATAAGCTTCAAAGCTTTAAGAGGACAAAATAGATCAGGGTCATCTTTCAAACACAGTAGATTCACTTCCTTCGACAACCTTGTCTTATGTTTTTCTTTGTTTCTTACTTCTATAACCTTTTCTTATGATTTTCTTTGTTTCTTACTTCTATAACCTTCTCTTATGTTATCCTTTGTTTCTTCTAAATAACCTTTTCTGATGTTTTTCTTCGTTTCTTCCTTCTATAACCTTTTCTTATGTTATCCTGTTTTATTTCATTATATAACCTTTTCTTATGATATTCGTTGTTTCTTTCTTCAAACCTTTTCTTATTTTATCCTGTTTTACTTCCTTCTATAACCTTTTATCCTGATATTCTTTGTTTCTTCCTTCTTTAACCTTTTCTTAAGTTATTCTTTGATTCCTCCTTCTATAACCTTCATATCCACAGTAGACATATTCCTATTCTTTTTTTTTTTTTTATTGAATATGAATTTCGTTGCTTGATGTTACCTTGCCCATACTAATGTTTTAGACATGCATATATTCCCCCTTCACGAGTTTGAGGTTATATTATGATAAATATAACATTATTGCGCCCCCCCCCCTTCCCATCGATAAGCTAATCATTACTTGTGGTAGTGTTATGACATTTCTTTTCAGGATCTACGAGCCCATAATGTCACTCATTGTAGTTCATTAAACCGTCTTCTGAAATTATTGAAGTCAAACTTGAAAAAGATATACAACGACATGTATGATGTGAATGAGTAATGTTCTACGGTGTCTTCATTAAGAGACTATTGATGGTCATGATTCACAGCAATTAATGCGTCATTTCTCATTTTCCCCATATTGTGTATCTTGAAATGGATAAATCTTTAAGACATGTTTAAAGTAATATATCTTGATATACAAATTAATCTCGAAAAATAGCCCGACTGTCAGGGAAAATGTACCAAGCGGCTATTTTGAGCGGCCATTTTGAAAAAAAGATTTAAAAAAAGGGGCCGCCTCCTTCCTATTTTTCAAAAAATCGGGACGCTAATAATGTTTTTGTTTTATTTGGCCTTACAAGAGAAATATTCAAGACACATCCCTCTCTCTTTCTCTCTCTCTCTCTCTCTCTCTCTCTTTCTCTCTCTCTCGCTCTTTCTCTCTCTCTCTCGCTCTTTCTCTCTGTCTCTCTCTCTCTTTCTCTCTCTTTCTCTCTCTTTCTCTCTATCTCTATCTTTCTCCCTCTCTCTCAAAAAAAAAATGTAAGTGCGAACTTTGTGATCTACCATCATGTGTATCTTAAGAAAGAGAAAATTAATTGAGTTGTGGTTCAATTTCCGATACTGTCCATCATTTGAATGGAAAACATAACGTGATATGTCCCTTGATGGTAGATAGACAAATCATTATTCTTTGTTTGTTAATATTATTGAACATGAGTTTGGTTCCTTGAATTCACCTTACCCAAATAATTTTTCAGGCATGCCACATCTTCTTTCCTTTACGAGTTTGAGGTTATATCAGGACAAACATAACATTACCCCCCCCCCCTTCCCATCTATAAGATAATCATTAATTTTCTGTGGTGTTTTTGACATTCTGTTCAGGATTACGAGCCCATAATGTCACTCATTCTAGGTCTTTTAAACGGTCTTCTGATAAATGATGAAGCTTAAAACTTGAAAAAGGTATAAAATAACATGGAGGATGCGAATCATTAATGTTCTACGGCGTCTACTTTAAAAGGGCGATAATGCTTATGATTCACTGCATTTATATGGCGTCATTTTTCATTTCCCCATTAAGTCAGTTATTAAAAGTCTGTTGAAGTGGGTATTCTTTTAGGCATGTTTGAAATACAATATCTTGATATACAATTGAGTGTCGCTTCAATTTTCAGAGTCCGATCAATCTTGGAAAGAAAAAATTTCAAAACACATTTTGATACTATTTATTTGGCATGTGCTTATCGTATGGACATGGTTCCCCCGGGGAGTAATGGAGTAAGCTGTCGTTTCTTAGCAGATAAGAAACTACCTTTCTTGTTTCTTCAGATTGCTTTAGCGAGCTAATGAGAATTTTGGGGACCTTTTATTTTTTAGTAATCAGTTGTGCATTGATTTACAGCGTTATTTTTATAGAATTTTTTTGAGGCTGCAGGCCCATAGCCTTACGCTTTCCCTCGCATACGCCCAACACTATCTGAGTTGCCTAGATACACGAATTGAAATACGAAACAAATCACATGTTTTCACTTTTACGACGATCATGTGAACAAATGATAGAGGGCTTTCAAAATGTCATGTACTCATTCATCAGTTATTAATTTGATCATCAATTAAAATGTACATGTACCTACTTCTTTTTGTTCTTACTCGCAAAACGCCAATACATATCATCGATATACCATCCATTTGAACTTGTTTATTTGCCTAGTCATGGTCATCTCGCATTGCTCGCTCTCTCTGTCTATAGCTATTATCTACGGTGAAAGGTCTCTTTTGAAGGAAAATCAATGATGTCATATCGTTGCACTAATTATTCATCGATCTTAAAAGTCGATACCATTTCTCTATCACAGCTTCCGCACATTAAGTAGCGCTGTTGTGATTTAATTTACTAGATCAAGGTTAAAAACAATTGTCATTGTGACTGGGGCAAGATGTGCCAGGTGATCGTGGTGCCCCCTCCCAAAAATATAACTTGAAAGAAAAGTATCATTAACATGCATGGCAAAGGGTTAACGCAATTGCGAAGTGATCAGAAAGTTTCCGGCGGATGTCACCCTCCCCCCCCCCCCCCCAAAAAAAAAAAAAAAAAAAAAAAAATCTTTTAGGGTTAAGCCAGGTTCAGCTTAGTTAGATGAGTTTAAGTCGCATTCCGATATCATTTTACCAAGCCCATAAATAATCAAATCCGCCCCTTTTGTAAATCCAGATGTAAATATTGAATATAAATTCGCTGTATATCACTGTATCATCATGACAAATGAAGTTTGATTTGTATACGGATTCGAAAGCTCTCAAAATATTAGGTTCTCCTTCCGGCAGGCAATTGCATATGACGATTTGTTTCCCCTTCTATTCCGACTTTTGTATACAATGATTACTTGTAAACGAAACATTATTAAACTTGTTCATTATTGATACACGACTTCCGAGGCCTACTCCATCCTCGACTAGTAAAGATAATCATGACAACGAGGTTCGTTGACACACGGGTCGTCTTTCGTAATTGATTCTTAGATGAAAAAAGTCACAACGAAGAGAATAAACATTTTTAATGTTGGCGAAGTATTGCCGGAATGCACACGTATACTTTGTTTCCTATACTTAAATGTTAACAATTCAATTCCGTAGTGTAATTTGCTAGTCCAAAGACAATACATTTTGTGCAGTTTCTTCTTTCGATGCACTTACCTACATACACGACGAGGTTTGGTTACCGGTACATGAAAAGACCCCCCCCCCCCCTCCACCTAACCGTAATGAACCATAAGTGTAAACTCAAGTAAGGGTAATTAGTGAGCAGGAAATATGTGTCTTGTGTTCAACAAAAAGTAAATACAAGAGCTTGCATTTCCATGTGTGTAACTTTGTACACCATGGTGTTATCTAATTTCCCGGTCGGGGCGACACCACCATGGGTGTCGATCTGTCACTGATACCTATTCATCAGGGGGGATGATCTATTCATTCATCCCCCCTGAACAATAGGTATTACGTAAGTATCGACACCCATGGACACCACCCCTCTCCCCCTAAAAGAAATGCTGTCGGCACATGTGTTCTTTTCATCAAGAATGTCTTAAGGAAAAAAGTTGAACATATGTTTGAAATGTGAAAATCCGACAACTGTTTTTTCCTTGTCGACAAATTTGAAAATTGTTAGTCGACTTGGTCCAACATCACCTTCCCCATTCAATTTGGTTCGTCGACGGCCCTGCCCCCTGTTGGCCCTAAATTATTATTAGTATAACTTATTTGCTAAAATTCAATTCATATTCATCCTTTTTTCTGTCATTACGACATTAGTGATGCACCTTTAAGTATAATGGATGGAATATCGTACAAGAAACATTTCATAACGGCTACATCCAACTTACTTACTGAGTCCTTACAAATTCCATTATTATATTACTCGGGCCAGCAGAGCGTCTATCCAACGAGTTAACCAAATATCACCGACATGCATATTCGATATACTGGCCAGAGATGATCAAGTATGCTTCATTAAATGCAGATAGAATCATCACTGCATATCTGCTGGGTTTTAGAAAATAGAAGGTCCTTGTTTGTCTGTTGTTTATTGTTATACAATGAGCAGGAATATATAGATCATCGTACTGTCTGCTCTTTGGGGAAAATTAGAAAGGCCCAAATGGGGCCAAAGTGGTCTTTTCACAACATTTATTTAATCATGTTAAAAACAATAATGCCGAGTCATCAAAATCATTTCATAAACTTTATGCGCTCCATATTTACTCAGAGCATCATTTCATATCTACTTGAATTACTCGTGGAATGCTTGCTCTCTTCACGTACATGGACTCGTACCTCCAAACGGATATGTTATTGTAGTTTGCCCTATTTTTTACATTCCCATCGGCACGTGTGAGCACTTTAAAGTGTTGTTCTCTCTCGAGTCGACAACTCTTTTTTATAAATCAAATTTCGTAATTCTTGGAGTCTATCACCATGCGAAAGCTGTTCGCTTTTTGTTGGGGGGGGGGGGAGTAACAAGAACATTAGTTTTATCCAACATTGGCTCGGTAATGCGTGATAGCTTGAAGAGGCGTTTTGGCTTCATTGAACATGAACAAATAGAATGGTAGTTGAAGGTACCATCCCATTTGCATGCCAAAAAATGAAAAGGTTATAAATTCCAATGGCGTTTGAAAATTTTTCGTAATTAAGAACTTCATTCAAAACGATAGGTCTTGAAAATGTCTTTACGTGGGAAAATAACGAGCATTAGTTATCGAATCGTCTTTAGTGATTGCAATTATTAAAGTAATAGTCTGATTTTATGACCCTTGTACAGAATGGTCGCACGTTTTGTGCTGCGCAAAGATTCAATCAGATTAATTTTGCACATTACAAGAATTAGGTTATTGAGGTAGACAAATGCTTATGTACCCTTTACAACTCTTTTTATTGCTATTACCAAAGAAGACAAAAAGAAGCAATTTTCTCACGCAAAAGTGTCTGACAGTGAAGTAAAGAAAGTAAACGGGTTTCCTTGCATAATGTTAACATTATTATAAGGACATACGTGACATATTCATAATTCCTGCAAAGTTCTACAGTATTTGATGTTGGCTGCAAATGGGACATAGTATTTTCAATGTGTATTTGTTTTTGTATGTTTCTAGCCGACCGCGGATTTCCTGACTGGTGCTCGCTTGCAAGGAATTGAGATCATCGCATCAGAAAGCTTCTCTGAAGACCCCTCCCTTCAAGTCACAAACCTTAAGGTGAGTTTGCTGGATGATGGTGGTGTTTGTGGTTGTTGTTGTGGTGGTGGTGGTGGTGGTGATGCTGTTGGTGATGGTGGTGGTGGTGGTGGTGGTGATAGTGATGAAGGTGTGGTAGTGGTGGTGGTGGTGGTGGTGGTGATGGTGGTGGTGATGGTGATGGTAATGGTGGTGGTAATGGTGGTGATGGTGATGGTGATGGTGATGATGATGATGATGGTGATGATGGTGATGATGATGATGATGATGGTGATGGTGAGGGTGATGGTGATGGTGATGGTGATGGTGATGGTGATGGTGATGGTGATGGTGATGGTGATGGTGATGATGATGGTGATGATGATGATGATGATGGTGATGGTGATGATGGTGGTGATGATGATGATGATGGTGGTGATGATGATAATGATGATGGTGATGGTGATGGTGATGGTGGTGGTGGTGGTGATAATGGTGATGGTGATTGAGATAGTGACGAAGGTGGTGATAATGGTGATTGCTGTAATGATGTTTGTGGTAGCGATGATGATGAGGATGGAGTGGTAGTCGTGGTGAATGTGGTGGGGACTATGAAAGTGGTGAGAATGATGGTGGGGGTGGTGATCATCGCATTCGAAAGCTTTTATGCTAGTTACCAACCTCATGGGGGGGGGGGGGTTGCTGGATGAGCGTGGCGATGTGGATTGATGGCATTGATGGCGGTCGTGGTGTGATAGTGGTAGTGATGGTGATGGCGGTTGAGGGCACGTTGATAGTGATGATGGCGGTTATAATGATGGTCGTGCAGCTAGTCGTAGTGGTTAACAATAGCTTATAACGCACACACAAGTCAGAGTAAGAATAAAATCGATGGGCCCTCACCAACAATTAGCACAATAGTGTATGACTTTAAATTTGAACCATACATTGGATAATAATATTCCCCATGTAGACTGAGTATTTCCCAGAACATGTGTTACCCCGAAAGGTGCGACTCTAAGATTCCGAAGATTTGTTTTCTTTCATTACCTTGCACAGAAACAAGGAGCACGTATCATCATCGGTAACTTTTATGAGAACCGAGCGCGACAGGTATTCTGCCAGGCTTACAAAGATGGATTGTACGGAGAAAAATACGTGTGGATCATCACAGGTAAGAGTCAGCGGTCATTATTAAAGGTAGGAGAGAGATGAAAAGGGATAAAACACAAGACAAAGAAGATGGAAATAGCTATTAAAGGTCTTTAAAAGGTGAAAACAGTTGTTTGTGTAAGATAGTATTGATCAGCACTAAATTATACAATAGATAAAACGAGGGAGACAAAAGAGAGATAATTACCTCATTCTAGTATTTTATTTACTTGTATTCATGAGTTTCTCGCTTTACATACTATATTTAGGTTGGTATAGCAATGAGTGGTGGAGGGTAAGGGATCCAGCTCATCCTCACGATTGCACCTCGGAGCAGATGGATGAGGCTGTACGAGGGTACTTCACCACAGATGCGTTACCTCTCAGTCTAGCGCAACATCCAGGCGTGTCGGGAAAGGTAGGAGGAAGTGAAGGGGTTGAAAGGGGAGGAGGAGGAAGGGGAGGAGGAGGAGCAGGGGGAGGAGGAGGGGAGGAGGAGGGGAGGGGGAGAAGGAGGAGGGGGAGAAGGAGGAGGGGAGGAGGAGGAGGAGGGGAGGAGGAGGAGGGGAGGTGGATGAGGGGAAGAGTAAAGGTAAGGTAGTGACGTAAACATTCAAGGAATTATTTATGATAAGTGAAGGGTGATGAATAGGTTATCTCCCGGGAACAATAGATGAATAGGTTATCTCCCGGGAACAATAGACAACCACTTGTCTACGCCAGTGAGTATAAGAGAAGAGGGGAGGAGGAGATGGATAGGAAAGATGGGATGGAGGCATACGCGATGAGAGGGGTGAGGGATAAGGAGGAGGTGCAATAGCTGGAAGAATTTCGAGGAAGAGGAAGATCAGAAAAAGGGGGTCTAGAGAGAAAGAGGAGAAAGAATGAGAAGGAAGGGTAGGAGTAAGACGGAGAAAGGAGTTGTAGACACTCTCCTGAGAGTGAGGACAAGGAGGAAGAAGAGGAGAGTAAGAGAAAGAAAGAATAGCAGAAAAAGAAGATGTAGTAGTAGTAGTAGTATAGTAGTAGTAGTAGTATAGTAGTAGTTAAATTAGATGTATAGGTATTAGTAACATTAGCAATATCATTAACAGGAGTATCATTATTAACCATCATCAATATGAATATCATATCATTTCCTATCATCTCTTAGACCACGGAGCAGTTTTGGGAGGAGTATAACGAGTATGTCGGAGGTAACCCTGAAAGTCTCTCAGGTTACCAGGAGGCTCCTTATGGGTATGACAGTGTCTGGACCATAGCTCTCATGCTACAGGAAGCTGAAGAGATGCTTCAGAGAATGGGTAAGAAAACAAATCCACCATATCGAGGGGTCAGTGACACAAAGACGTAACTCCATTTTGGCCATTTTCAGAAAAATTGATTTATGTGTCACTGAGCACTTGGGCATTATGGAAACAAGTCAATGTTTCACTAGCCATTGACTTCACTAGGGTGTTGGGTGAAGTTAAGTCTTTGTATTTCCTGGAAAGCCCACATTTTTCTGGGCATTTTGATATCAAATACTCATTTTGGCAAAATATGGAGTTACGTCTTTGTGTCACTGAACCCTCGATATGATAGTATTGACAAGAGACATACTGATGCTTTCGTCTTGCGCTCATCGGAGTAAACCGCAGGAATGAATAGACAGCCCAAATCGAACAATATAGTTTTGTAAGAGGGGCAGAAAATTACAATAAAAGGGAACAAATCATCCTTTTTATTTTGTTAGTTAGAAAAGCTCCGGAAGGATCTTGAAAATGTAATTAAAAAGGCATTTCTAAAATTGAGGGAAGAATTTGTTCAATAGTAATTTAGGCTCTCACCCTTACCCTATCAAAACCTACCCCTATGGTACGGTCCCCAATATAAGCAATACAAAAGTCTTAAAAAGACTCTATAATCATGCATGAGTCTAATTGTTGATTGATGCAATGAAGAAGAATCATTATTTAATGTAAGATTTTAGTATCAATTAAATGAATCAATTTTTCTGAAAATTACAAACAGTAAAAAGCACTGCACAAAGTATATGTATATGGGGCCGCACACAGTTGTGGCATTAAAAGTTCAAATTTGAGATATGAAGGCATTTCATTATGAAGAGCACTCATTTCCACGTGACATTACTGCTATGATTACTCTTCCAGACTTGAACAAAAATAATAAAAAATGCTCACATTATTTGTTCACTTAAAACAGAACTTAACCTCCTTTACATTGAATATCCTTTCCTGATACCTTTTATATCAAAGATCCGCCGAAATCGATCGCCGACTTCAGCTATGATGATGACGAAATAGCGGACATATTCTACAACATCATGAACAAAACCAACTTCGAAGGGGTGTCTGGGCCAGTCCAATTCACTGCCGCTGGTGACAGAAAAGGTCTGATGCAGGTTGAGAGGCAGATAGGTGAGCTAAATCATCCCCTGTGTTCAGAACGGCAACATGGCTTATAATTATGTAGTAAAACGAAAGTTATGGCATTTCAGAAATCGGCTTTGCAAATTAATGTGTGATTAACATATGAATTATTATTTGCAATTTCAGCCGAGTACAAGTATCAAGTTATTGTTTGTCGAATTATTTCAAGGTGATTGACACTATAATTATGCATGTGCGCTTGTTTTGCCAACTCATCCATCCCCATCCCTAAATTGAATTCACATTCTTTTTACCCATTAAACAAAATCAAAACGATTCTTGATGGAATTTCTGCCAAAATGTATAATTTTTTTTTACCTGGGATGATACAACTTTCAATACCCCCAAATCCCTCCAGCGATGCCCCTTAAAACCCACATTAATTTGCTGTGCAAGGGACATTGTATGTACATGTCAGTCTCTAAAAGCTAGATATCATATACAAGCCACTCAATTCTCACGTTTTCAGTGGGTTTGTTTGTGTTGTGTATGCGTCTGTCAGAAGAGTACCACGCTAACTCTTCTTTCATGTAAGACAGGAAAAGAGTCAAGCATTACTATTTACTTGTATTCATAACCTTGTTTGGTTGCCATGGTAATGAAATAAATATTGTGCTATTTTAAACAGGAAATACCGAAGTACGTGTTGGTATCTACGATCCATCCAGAAACCCTGGAGATGAGTTGACATGGAGTCAAGAAAACCCCATCATCTGGCAAGGTAAGAGGTTGCCATGGTTACAAAAGGATGGATACTGTAGGTCAACCACGCCTTCACCTTTATAATAATAGTAAACACTTATGATGTCTGTAAAAAGTGTGGGCATACATCTATAAAGTAATGCAAGAAAAAGAAAGCATATAAACATGGTTTGTACATACATATACTTCAACCCATACATCTTGCAATAATACCATTAAAACATCATTTTTAACATAAAAGCAAGGTAACATATGCTTAATATATATAGCCTGCATGGAGTTGTTAATATCCTTTTTTTAATAGTTTAAACATGGGATATTACCATGATTTTCTGCAAGCAAGTTTGGCGACTTACATTTTCTCGAAGAAGAGGAAAACCAAAGTTATCCATCTTAAAGATCTTTCCTATTAATGATCGTTGTCTATTTTGTTACCACAAAAATGTATCCCTTGTGTTTCTCCTGATCAAAAGATTTAAAAACTGCATATCCTTCTTTAAGGGGGAATCAGGGATGGGAGAAAGAGACACTGGACAAAGAAGGGCATAATAAAGGGCTATGGCAGATTAAGGGTGGCCCTTCAAACGTAAGAATATCATGAAATATAGCATACTGTAACATAAAAGGAAGGTCGTCAGCCTCTCCCCCCCCCCCCTGCCCCATGGGGTCGTTTCTTTTTTTCTTTTTCTATTAGTTTTGAAAACAACCATGATCATGTTCCTTCTAAAAAATAATAAGAGAATAATGAGAATAAGAATAAATGTTGCCCCCCCCCCCCCTCCAACCTTTTGAAACAAATTTTGACCCGCTCTTGGTAGAAGGTAAATTATCCCCCTAGGTTCGCGAGAATGGTGTATGTTATGTAGCAGTTTGTCCTGATGAGCACCATTTGTTTTCAGACATACAAACCACTGCCAGGCATAGTCGTTCAAATTTGTGAATAATCAATCTCGGTAGGCCACAATGAATTGATATGCACCAGGAAATGAGGTATTCTGTATATATTACTTTACAGTCAATAACTATTAAATCTGATTAATGTTAGATGGATTGCCGATCTCGCCGATCCCCCTCCCCTCTCTCGATCTCCGTCTCTTTTTCTTTATACTTCCCATCTCTAAATTCCCTCTCTTTATATCTCTGTCTTTATCTCACCTCTCTCTCTCTCTCTCTCTCTCTCTCTCTTTCTCTCTATGTGGAATAACTACATATGTCTGTATATGTCATTCTCTTTTTTCATCTTTTATGACATCTTTATCTTAATAAATTTCTCTCAAAATCCCTTTTCATATTTTGTATGTTTTCCCTTTAAAATATTGTTCCCGCTCTCTTGTTATTGTCTCCTTCCCAATCTTGTCTCACCCCATTATTAATGTCGGTCTTGAGTCGGTCTTGAGTCGGTCTCGTCGGTTTAACTAGGCAATCAACCTCTTTTTCATTTTATAATAATAATAATAATACACATAATTACACCTGTATTATTATTATTATTATTTTAAAAATAGATATATAATAGCAGTAATTCTGTTACCCAGGGAAGCCCCATCATCATCAGTCATTTTCCTCTTGAGAGCCCTGCAATTATTATTACACCAACAATTGCCAGGTACCCACTTACACCTGGGTGGAGAGTGGCAAACGAAGATTAGTGTCTTGCCGAAGTACGTTTGTGCCAGGCTGGGATTCGAACCCTCAACCCTTCGATTGATAGTCAAGTGTATGAACCATTTATACATCAGTACGCCTCTCCAATAAATTGTTTTTGATCATCATTATCTATCAGTTTATATGTTGTCTTACCTATCTCTCTCTCTCTTTCTCTCTCTCCGTGAATGAACAGGTGGACGACCACCACTCGACTCAATCATCGAGCGAGAAACTCGTGTGAACATCTCCTTCGCGATCTTCATCGTGATGACGGCTCTGGCCTTGGCTGGGATCATCATGGCCGTCGCTTTCCTTGCCTTCAATATCAAATACAGAGCAAAGAGGTGAGAGTTTGAGTACGACCCCTCCCTTGGGTCTCTTGCATAAACGTAAATTGGTTTTCAATCAATCACGATTGTGTAAATTGGACTTGCGTTTAGCTAACCAAGTAGCCGCGTTTAAACGCAACTTTTTTATGCAAGAGGACCCTCAATATTATACATATAATTATGAGGGAAGAAGAGTGTTATAAGAAACTTTTGTAAGTGGCGAGACTTATCATTATAAGTTATTTCTTTAATGGAAAGGGGAGTATTGTTCCACGTTTTTCGAATCAGCTGTCATTTAACTATCATTTTTGCACTACTAGTATTACATCTAGTTCTTAGTTCGGACTTCTTAACCCCAACAGTTTACCCAGTCCCAATTAACCCTAACATTAAAAAGGTTAACCAAATTAGAATTACGATTTTAACCATAATTACTCTTGACCAAATAAAGAGCAATAATACTATTAATTTGATTTGATTTGATTTGATTTATTTTCCCCTCAAATACCCACAAATTAAAATGACAAATATAAACCATACAGTATTACAATATATAATAAAACAAATGAATTATACAAGTAACAAAATACTGATAAGTATGTACGAATCGAAATAAGTTTACACTGAGAGTACGTTTAAGTTTGGGAATAAGACAAAATATGTTATATTGCTTGATTTAACTGAGAGGGGCAAAAGGGGAATATCAGAAAAGCTAGGCTTGTTTTGGGCGAGATTCCCAATATAATGTGGCTACCCCGGGTAAAAAAAACACTGGTAAATTGGATCCCAATAATATTTGTCTGGTATAAAGTACACAAGAAAACCATCATGAAGTTTTTGTTTCTCCCATGCAGGTACATCAAGATGTCTAGCCCTAAGATGAATAATCTGATCCTCGGAGGAGGGATACTTGCATACCTCTCCATCATCTTCCCTGGGGTAGACTCCATCGATATCGATGACGTCACATTCGTATGGATGTGTAGGGTGAGTAGCTACTTTATATGATATAGTTAAACCAGTGAATGGAGGCCACCTGAAGGAAACACAAAAAGTGGTCACTGTAGACAGGTGGCCTTCTAGATCGGTTTTTCAACACACATTTCTTTCTCGAGGGAAGCAATATGGGTGACCACTTTAGACAGGTGATCTTTATAGAGAGGTGGCTACTAAGACAGGTTTGACTGTATTTCGTCTCCTAAAAGTGGTAGAGCAGTGGTCTTGTAACCGGGAGGTCACGGATTCGAACCCAAGTCGATGCATTATTGCCATTTGCTAAGGCAGTAATCCTCATTGCCAAGTCCCTTGGAGACGACTGACAACTATCGGTACATTGGTGGATGCGCAGAAGAATATCGAGTAAAATCAAAGCTATCAAACAAAACCATTTTCCAGCTTACAGGTTTACCATGAATGACTATTACAAACAAACATTTAATGTCTCATTTTTTGTGGTCACTTGGTCCATCACTACTATCTGTTAGCATACGATGAAAAAAAGTATTGATTATTACATCACACTAGTTGAACAACAAAGGATAATAATTCAATCGAGATGTATCGGTGGTGGAGGTGTATTTTGAAACTGTTCCTCCTAGATCCTTGGCTATTAGTATGAAGTTAATGTAATACAAATTAGCCCACATATATCTTTTTGTAGTAATATTTCATTCCACGGACCCATTGAAAGCTTATTTGTTTGTGTGTTTTGATGTTGTCATTCCATTCATCATATTTTATTCTTTCTTTCTGACAGTCTAACTTATGGAGTCTAGCTATCGGATTCTCAATGGCCTTTGGTGCAATGTTTACAAAAACATGGCGGGTTCATCGCATCTTTACCACCAAAACTGCGATGAGAACGGTGAGTAGAATGAGGGAGGTATCTCCTTGGTACAAACGAAGACAAGAATAGGTCGTAATACGGTCTAGAGTTATTGTTTTCAAATTCGGCCATGAAATTAATGTCAAAAGAAAAAACATTGTCTATCAAGCTTATATTCCATTAAGCGTGACATTGACCTTGTCAGATGGGGTCACACGAGGTGCTGCTCAGGGAAGGTATATTCATTTGGAGTCAGATAAATGAACTTTACAACTTTCCTTTACATGTTAGTGTTATTAATAATGTTAAGAAATGTATCGACTTAAACCTTTTAAGGCATTTCATTTCTTTAATAGTGAAACGCTATATAAAACAAACCACCTCCTAAAAAATCCCAGCAAATTGGTGTTTCAAAGAATGGAAAAGCTTAACTGAACTCCTATTTTTCTTTGACTGCCGCGGTTTTTAAACTTGCTGCGATATAAGTTTCATTTTAACATTGTGCAGATTTGGAGAGTTTTTTCTGCAGTTGGAAGATCGTATGATAAGAAATAGCTTTGCATTTCATTTGATGTAGGAAAATATATAAGTGGATTTTTATTTAAGAAAAATGTGTTTGTTGTTCTCATTATAAGATGATCAAAGACTATCAGTTATACGGCGTGGTCATGGTCCTCATCATACTCGATATCATCGTCTTCGGTTTTCGAGAAATCTTCGATCCGATCTTCCTAGACGTTCAGACCAGTAGACAGGTGAGTTAAACTATTTCTCTCTCTCTCTCTCTCTCTCTCTCTCTCTCTATCTCTCTCTCTCTCTCATTCTCTCTCTCTCTACCTTTCACTCTTTCTCTTTCTCTCTCTATCTTTCTCCATCTCTCCCTCTCTCTCTCTTTATCCCCAATCAAATTTCTGTCTTTCCTCCTGTCTGTTGTTATTTCCTTATCCCCTCTTCCATCTCTTTCTCTCTTTCTCTTCCTTTATACCCTAATAATATTTCTGTCTCTCCTCCTCTCTCTTGTTATGTCCTTATCCCTTCTCCTTTATCTTTCTCTCTGTCTCTGTCTCTCTGATTCTCTCTCTCTCTCTCTTTCTCTCTCTCTCTTTCCAAATTTCTCTCGTGCTGTTTATACTCTATCCCTTGCTTCTTTGTACCCTCTCTTTCCATCTCTCTTTTAATTCCATCCTCAATCCCTCTCCCACCTTAATACACCCTTCCCCTTTTCTCTGGCAATAGTCATCTTCCTATCTCTCACTTCCCCCTCTTCCTATCTCTCACTACCCCCTCTTCCTAGCTTCTATCTCCTTCGTTTTTTGTTCTTTCTCCCACATTCGTTATTCACATTAACCTATCAACATTGAACACAAAATATTCGAATAACTGTGTTTTGCTAGACATACATGTACGTTTATTTTCAATTCGTATTCAACATTACTTTCTTGTTCAGAATCAGGGGTATGTAATTTTGATCTCTTCACCACACCATGGCTACAACCCCCTACTTACTTCCTATCAGCCGAAGATGGCGTAATTATTAAACCAGGACGCTTGACAATGAGCTGGTGATCGTATCATTGTTCATAACGCTATCTTCGGCGGCTTATATTAATTGTAGGGAATATATGAACAACCAGCCAGATTCTGGACTACAAACTATCCTAAGGTTCTACAAATAATAAACAGTATTGAATTCATGTCCTCACTGTCTTTTAAATACATTTTTCCTTCCTTTTAGAACCAAGATGAGGATGTAGTGTTAGTGTTGCTTCGGCGGACATGTACGTCACACTACGTGGTATATTGGAATGGTAGTCTACTCGTACTCAACGGGCTTCTACTGGTCTTCGGGGCTTTCTTAGCCTGGGAGACTAGGAAGGTCACTGTACCAGCTCTCAACGATTCCAAGTATATCGGTAAGTTCTAGGATTCAGAATAGGTCGATAAACCAAGGAGTATTAGGGGACTAGTCACCAAATATGGGGCACAGTCAGTTGTTGTATAGGGGGTTCTAATTCCTCCCAACCCCCGCAAAAAATCTGCAAATTATAGTTATCCAAGTATCCAATTGGAACATAATTCGGGTGATTATTGGGGGTGGTGACTACCCTTTTGCTAACATCTGGATCATTGCCCCTGCATTTTTTTCTTTTTTTAGGAGAAGGAATAAAAGATATTATTTTGCAGTTCTGTTTCAACTGAAGTATAATATACAACCATGAAGACAGTGCTTAAAGCCTTTTTTTTAATATGAAAAGATGATTGGGAAGGTAATCACAAATTTATACAAGTCTTTTCTTTTGGTAACAATCTGAGAGTACCGGCACAATTATTTTCTGGTGGGGGGGGGGGAGGGGGAGGGGGGAACTGACGTCTCCGGTCCGAATTTGTAAAGACAAAATCACAACGTTATCCCAAATATATACACTGTAAACCTAGCCACCCCCCCCCCCCCACCCCCACACACACCCAGTGCCTCGTACACCCCTGGTGGATGGTATAAAACGTGTAGTAATTTGCCGACTTATTCTTCTATCGTATACATTTTTCAGGTATGAGTGTCTATAATGTGGTGGTCCTGTCTTTCGTTGGAGTACCGGTCTCCCTGGTATTAGACGATGTCAACGCCCACTACGCAATCATTGCAAACTTTGTCTTCTTCGCCACCACGCTCACACTGTGCATGGTCTTTGTGCCTAAAGTAAATTTCCTTTTTATGTTCTTAAAATTAATAAATTTTGTCATTTTCATGTCCAGGGACAACTTATCAAAATTGCTTTAAAAATCGTAGAGGCACCTCAAGTTGTGTATGTTGCATCCCGTCGTAAGCTAGTGATTAAGTAACATAATACTAATCAAATATTTCAATATTTTCTCTTATTTTTGCTAAGTTTAAAGAATCAGGAATGATATTCTGGAATAAATTATGACACTCACTTATGCGGTAGAAATACAATACTCACATATAACCGTGTTCATTGTTGAGGTTTGCTATTATTGCATAGCACAGTGAAAGAAGAATACCACCGAAGCGACTCAGTGGTATCGAAATACCTTGGCTGTAGAATAAAAATCATGTTTGATTTAATAGTACGGCATTGTAATGTTTGCCTATTTTACAAAGTTGATGGACGAGGATATTGATATTGTTTTCAGTTGATTTTCGGAAATCTATGGCATCGTATTCACTACTCATCAAGTCATGAGTTTCAACCAGTGGTAAAAGTTTGTCATGTAATTTGTGTAGTGCGATCGTAAAAGCGTCCAAATTGAGTATCTTTTTCAATTATTGAACAGCATTGTTTGTAATCAGTTAATTTACAGGTCGATCGCTGTCAAAATAAATGCGTCTGACTTAATCGTCTTCTCGTTTTCTTCCTTTCTTTCTTTTCGCAAAGCTTCGGGTTCGTAATGAAGTGGAACCTAAAGGAACTATGTTTTCAACGATGGGTAACAGTCATAATCAACAAAGTATTACAGAGCCTGCACCGGATAAGAAAATACGGATGTTAAGTGACCGGATAGAAAACCTACAAGACCGACTGGATAAGGTAGGTTTTAGAAGAGAGAGAGAGAGAGAGAGAGAGAGAGAAAGAGAGAGAAAGAGAGAGAAATAGAGAAGGACAAAGGAGGAGTGTGCTATGCGGGATGTAGGAAGAAAGAAGGGGACGGGGGGGGGGGGGTTATAGGACGAGAGAGTGGAAATGGAAGAGACTGAATGTAAAAAAAAAGATGAAAAACATGACAAGCTGGAATCAGACAGGAAAATACAGTCTTTAAAGACGGGATCGGCTAGATATTAGTTCCAGAGATAAGGAAGAGAGAGAGAGAGAGAGAAAGAGAGAGTTAGAGGGAAAGAGAGAAATTGAGGAATTAAAATGGAATTTTGAGGAGGAAGAGAGAAGAAGAGAACGGGTGTGAAGGAAGTAGAACAAAAAACAATAATAATGCTAAGAGTCGAAGCAGATGTGAAAAATCGGATGTTCGTAGGAAGTGACTGGGTAGAAAACGTTCAAGACTGAGCAGATAAGGTAGGTTTAAGAAGGAAAAAGAGAACGAGAAAGAGGGAGAAGAGGGACGAAGTGGAGAAATTTAGAAAGGGACGAGAAAGGAAAAAATTGGATGTAAACAAGACAGATGAAGTTCATGACAGGATACGGATATGACGGATAGAAAACGTACAAGATCGACTAAATAATGTGGGTTTCAGAGAGAGAGAAAGAGAGAGAGAGAAAGAGAGAGAAAGAGGGAGAGAGAGAGAGAGAGAGAGAAAGAGAGAGAAATAAAGATTGTGAAGGTTGGGATTTAAAAAAAATGAATTTGGAAGAGAGAAAATGATGAATGCGAAGAAAGATGAGTAAACATTAAGAGCCCGAATCGGGTAAAGTTCGATGTTTCGTGACTTGATCGAAAATTTACAAATCCAGTAGAATAGATTGATTTAATGGAGAAATAGAAAATGTTGGGGGAGAAGAGTAAAAGGATTTGAGTGGAAATAGAGAATGTGAGGGGAAAATGAGAAGAAAGAAAGAAGGAGGGAGGAAATATGGGCCATCCTGCGGTCATATTCAACACAGCGATGCCGAGCCAGAATCCCTCATCCTCCTCTTTCAATCTCTTTACAAACACACAAACAAACACGCAAACACACAAACACACACACACACACACACACACACACGCACACACACACACACACACTCACTATCTCCCTCTCTCTCTCTCCCCTCTCTCTCTCTCTCTATCTATTTATCTCGTGCAGAAGAATAATCGAATCAAGGAGTTGGAGAGCTGCGTCATACCCTCATCCGATGCAACCAAAGGAGAGTGTAGCAGCGACCTCAGCACGGAAAGATGCGAAGAAGCGCGAGAACAAGCCGGTCCATCTCACCACAGATGAGGATTACTCCAACACAGTATGGACATCATCATTACACCAACCATCAGTGGCGTAGATGAGGGGGGCACGGAGGGCACGCGCCCCTCCTCAGTCGAATGGAGACGCAAAAAAGAGGTGACAACAAGAGGAGAGATGAAGCAAATGGGAAAAGAACGTGAGATAATAATATGAGGAAGGTCGATAGCTCGAAAACGCTCTTCAAAGGTTATACTATGTGGATCAGTAATGTGGGGATAACATGATAAGTTTGGAATGAAATATGTTGTAAGAGGTGCATCAAACGATGATCGGGAAATGCTTTGGGGTGATCCGCCGATCTGCGTCCTTGATGTGTAGTGTACAGAGAAGAAAAACCAATGAAGATAGTTATTAAAAGGGTGCTGTGACTATATAAAAGAAAAAGGTCGAAATATACGAAAGACTGGTGCCCCCACCCCCATGATTGAGCCCATGCTACGTCACCGTCAACGATTATGGATGTTTGTTTGTTTGTCGAACATTTATTGCTGTCATTTTGGCAGACGACACTGAATTGTATTGCAAATGTATTTGTGATGAATGTCATATTTGTTGATGATTAGTTTAGTCTTACTATGCTAAACGCTATCCATCTACCTCGAGAGCAGCAGGGTAACTGCTCAATATATATACACCGATCAGTAAGCAGTGGGCATTGTATGTACATTACAAAATGTTTTACTTTCAACATTCTGGCTGAGTGTATAAACGGGATATAACAGTTTTTTTTTTAGCTTTACCGAATTCAAGAAGATAATCTTATTTAGGCAGATCTGTGAATGAATGTAATTTTTTTTTATAATATAAAACTTCTTCTCCTGTCTAAATATATTTTGGATCTTTGTTCAGTGAAGGATCCAGGATTCCCTGGCATTGGGGGTACAATTCTGTTCAAAATGAAAATCCTCCGGTGCCTACACCCCCTCCCATAATCCGCCACTGACTGCGATTTCTGTACACATATTAGCTAACAACAAAATCGATGAACTAGAAATGGCATAAAAACTCTCAAAAGGCGATGGTAAAATAATATTTAGTAAAAAAAAAGAAAGGTAATGATAAATGTTGGGAATTAATAACATGAAGTTTCAGCGATAGTTTACGACACGAATTAGGAGTGATGCTGATGCATAATGGTGGCGGTAAAGATGATAGTAATGATACAATAGCGATAATGCTGCTGTTTCTGATGATGATGAAAACGTAGTGACGATAATGCTGTTGTTGTTGTTGATGATGAAGATGAGGATGATGATGATGATGACAATGATGACGATGATGATAAAGATAATGACATGATGATGATATAACGATGATTATGATACAATGATGATTATTATGATGATGAAGATGAAAAACAAATTAAATCTGGAAAGAATGAGATGCTTCTCCTATTGCAGCTGATGATGGTGAAGGTAATTATTATGATGGTCATGGTGATTATGGAACTGCTTGGTTACAGGATTGTTGACAACTTCATGTACTTTCATCGTGATGGGGTGATGATGATGAATGTTGGTTTGTGTTAAAACGGTGATGATAATGATAATGATAGTGGAAGAGATAAAAGGATATTGAACACAATATAATGTCAAAATGATGCTGAGTCTGGTTATTATGGCTGTATGATATGGATGTCGGTTATACAATTGATGATGTTGATGATTCAGGTGGTGATGTGGTGATGGTGTTAATGATGATGGCGACGACGACGATGATGACGATGATGATGGTAATGATGATGATGATGATGGTTATGATGAAATTGATGATAATATGCTGATGACAGTGATGGTGTTGATGTAGTTAATTTTGATGATGTCAATGATTATGTTGATGATTGATGCGTTGATACATACAATCTTACTGCGTGGTGACGGTGGCAGTGGTGCCAAATGTTCCGAGAATATGATTATAGCGATAAAGACTTGATAATATGATCGTGATGATGATGATGATGATGATGATGATTGTGATGATGATGACGATGAGGATAATAATGAAGATATAAATATAAATTTTCCCTACCCCTTTTGCCACAAAGCATTCGATACTAATTGAACAATGCATGGTTAAAAAAGACGCAAGTGTTCGAGAAGAAAGCATCAGTCACCCATTGGTATATACCTCTTTAAACAAAAAGCCCTCTCACCCCTCCTTCCTCCCCACCCAAGATTCGTATGCCTAATGATGATACTGACAGGTGACGATGAAGGGGACGATGATGATGTTGATGATGATTATGGTGTTAATGATTACGATGATGGTGATGGTGATGATAATTATGGTGATGGTGTTGGTGTGACCGTGTTGGTGGTAATGGTGTTGTGCTCCTGGTAGTTGTGTTGATAGTGGAGAAGATAATGGTAACGGCGATAGTGATGGTGGTAACGGGGACAATGATGGTGCATGATGATGATAATGGTAATGTTCGGTGCATGATGGTGATGGTGATGGTAGTGTATTGTGCATGATGGTGATGATGATGGCAGTGTCCGGCACATGATGGTAATGATAATGGTAGTGTTTGATGCACGATGATGATAATAATGGCAATGTTAGGTGTATGATGATGATGATAATGGTAGTGTTTGATGCACGATGATGATGATAATGGCAATGTTAGGTGTATGATGATGATGATAATGGTAGTGTTCGGTGTATGATGGTGATGATGATGGTAGTGTCCGGCACATGATGGTAATGATAATGGTAGTGTTTGATGCACGATGATGATGATAATGGCAATGTTAGGTGTATGATGATGATGATAATGGTAGTGTTCGGTGTATGATGGTGATGATGATGGTAGTGTCCGGCACATGATGGTAATGATAATGGTAGTGTTTGATGCACGATGATGATGATAATGGCAATGTTAGGTGTATGATGATGATGATAATGGTAGTGTTTGGTGTATGATGGTGACGATGACGGTAGTGTATTGTGCATGATGGTGATGATGATGGCAGTGTCCGGCACATGATGGTAATGATAATGGTAGTGTTTGATACACGATGACCTATTGACCTTGATAATGGTAATGTTCGGTGTATGTTCGTAATGATTATGGTAGTGTTCAGTGTATGATGGTGATGATAATGGTAGTGTCCGGTGTATGATGATAATGATGATGGTAGTTTTGGGGGCATGATGGTGAGGATAATGGTAGTGTTTGGTGCATGATGGTGGTGATGATGGTAATGTTCGATGCATGATGGTGATGATAGTGTTTGGTGTATGATGGTGATAAATACGGTAGTTTTGGGTGAATGATGGTGATGATGATGGTAGTGTTTGGTGCATGATGGTGATGAATACGGTAGTTTTGGGTGAATGATGGTGATGATGATGGTAGTGTTTGGTGCATGATGGTGATGAATACGGTAGTTTTGGGTGAATGATGGTGAGAAGTATGGTAGTTTTTGGTCTATGATGGTGATGATAATGGTAATATGCGGTGCATAATGGTGATGATGGTGGTAATGTTTAGTGCATGATTGTGATGATAATGGTAATTTTCGGTGCATAATGGTGATGATGGTGGTAATGTTTGGTGCATGATGATGACGACGGTGCATGGCATGATTGTGATGATGGTGCATGATCGTGATGGTAGTGTTCGGTGCACGACGGTGACGATAATGGAAGTGATGGTGCATGATGGTGGTGATGATGGAAGTGATGGTGCTTTTGCTAACAGTGGAAAAACTCTATGTGCTCTGATTGAACTCTGTACAGTATGAGTCAAAAAAAAGTTTACACCTATAAAATTGATAATTATTTTAAAAATCATCTATGAACAGTAAATTATTTATACATCTTATGAAAGAGTATTTTGTCCCAAATCCTTTGGTGTCATTTTTGTGTGGTATGTGTTCGCGCTTGGATAAACAAGAGGCACTTTTTGCGAGAGAGCAAAAATCGACTTGCGCCAAAGTTGCTTATGTGATGCTTGAATAACACTGTTGGAATTTGGTAATTAATTTGGTCTTTGCAGATCCAAATAACATCCCTAACAAAATTAATCATGCCACACATATCAAATATCGATGTCAAATATCAACGAACATTTGTGCGCGTGTGTGTGTACGTGTGTGACTTTGCTTCTGCAAAAAGCATAAATGCCATGCATTTCATTTGATACATTCAAATTACAACTGAAAACTTATTTGTTCATTTCGTTGTAAATATTGTAATATTTTAATTTACCATGTCTAGGAGAATTTCGAAATTCGTTTTTCGGTTTATTGTGTTTTTTCTTTCTTATGTCTGTTACATGTCCTTTTCTCTAAGCGCCATGAGCACCGAAAGGTGGACCTGTGCGCTATACAAGTAGCCACTATTATTATTATTATTGTTATTATTATTATTCTCTCACTCCGCTAATCCCAACATAATACATGTTGTAGGCATCACTTTGGCGCAAGTCGATGTTTGCATTTTTGCAAACAATGCCTCCTGTTCATCCAAGCGTGAACACATACCACACAAAAATGATACCAAAGGATTTGGGACAAAACATTCTTTCATAAGATGTATGAAAATTTACTGTTCATAGATGAATTTTAAAATCATTCTTTCATAAGATTTATGGGAATTTACTGTTCATAGATGAATTTTAAAATAATTAGCAATTTTCTATAGGTGTAAACTTTTTTTGACTCACACGGTATAGTATTGGCTGAGATTGTCATGGGATGTGTTAAAGATTAGGGTGAAAATAACCATTTACTAGTTAAGTTTTCATGAGTTCTGGAATAAATTGTGAGGGAAAAATGTTGAAGTGTTCGAATGTCAAGTAACGGCCAATAGGAAAAGTTTCTCCTGTTTCTTGGAAATGACGTTACCACTAATCATGATACAGTGAAATTCAAGGATACGTCTTCCTGTGTCTATTTTAATCAATTATTGTCTAACAGGTTGATTCAAGCATGAGTGTGATCCATTCGTAAAGATAATTAGATGTATCAGACGTATAATTTTCTGCCCTTTCCGAATGTGACCACCGTACACCCATTAAAGAATACTCATTATTTTATTAAAAATTGTTAGAATAAGGAATAGGAATTTGTAAAATGGCGATAGTCCTTCACAGTCACATATTTGTACGTCTGACGCGATCTCGAAGACTTTCAAAAAACCAAATGGAGGGCATTAGCTAGGCCTAAACCTTTTTTTTTGTAACTTACTTACAAAATCATGTCTTGATTATGTTATCGAAATGTTCGCACATTTCAAATTGTGATGTACAAGACCTACCGAAATTGACCTAGGTTGATTTTTCGAAAGTCTTTGGCCCGAATTCACAAAGGAGGTTTGTCGACAAACCGAGGTATATGTTCGTCATAAGACGCGTTTCGACGCGTTTTTACAAACCAGGTTTTTAAAAAAAACGCGTAAAAACGCGTCATAGTTATGACGTACGAAAACCAAGGTTTGTCCGTGTCTGCTTTTCTCTGTTTTAAAGCGTTTACGAATGTTTCACTCACTGTAAAGAGAACCCTGAATTGAAACTCGTTTCCGTTGCTAATCTTTATCAGAAATAGGTCTATAATATTCAGTTGGATAACTAGGTCATAGTTCAATGGGTTACGTATCATAGGCAGTACTCGAAGGGGGCGCAATTTAAAAAAAAAATTAAAAAATCAAAGATTCAGTATTTGCTCCTGACGCTGAATTCCTTACATACGCTACTTATATTATCTTCTTGCTACTTTTGTTCATGTATTTTGTATTATTATTTTTTTTTTATATATATTCATTTAATTATACAGGTGTATTTGTCATTGGGAAATAAATAGTTTAATACTTTGATTACAAATATTGTAGAAAACTGTTGATACATTTGGTAACTTCGGAATACCATGGTATCTAGGTTAGATATTTTGATATCCTGAAGCGATTGTAATAACTGATAATATTTTATCATGTATTTGTATTTTGGTTTCCCGATAGTAAGTGGGAATATATCGTGTATTAAATGTAAATAAATGATTATGATCATATTTATTATATCCGAAGTGTGTACTATTTGTTTTATTTTTGTATTTGTCATTATCATATGTGGAAGAGGCTAGACCATAAAAACATTTTGAAGAAAATCGTAAGCCCAGTCAAGCAGTCAAGGAGAACTGCATCTAGTTGTCATGAGAAACGGGTCTTTGAATGGTAAAAATTAACTGTAAGTTTTTGCCCAAATCCCCCCCTTTTTTCGCGTCTTCATCGTTCTTACCTTTCATTTTATAAAACATCGAATTAGTTCAAGATTGGTGCATCGAATAGATAAATGTGGCGATTTCTTAACAATAACAAAAAACCGTGGAGAAAAGTACATCCATGCACTTGATGGTTATGACCGAAACCATCTTGCATACATTTAATGTTGCTGTGTCGGTCGAGCATGTGGCAAATATTCGGGAAATCAATAGCAAATTTTCATTTCAGAAATATGCACAGATTTGGAAAGAAGAAAAAAAAGAATGAGATAATATTTTAAGTTTGATTCTAGATTCTTGGAATGGTAAATTAACATTCTAGTGTTTGCTACATGTATGTGAGTGTATGATTTTTCGGACTAAGTCTTGTATACCGGAGTCCGTGTATTGAAAAGTTAGAATCCATCCATTGAACGCCACCTGCCAATTATTACGCAACATTTCTATTCGAGTTAGATGGTGACTGTACTATGGTCTAATTTGAGAGAAATTGAGACCTCCTCTATTGTATTTTGGTTTGTTACTGTTTTGTTTTTAAACGGACGTCCATGTACCTTTTTCTATAAATACAAGGACTCTTAAATTGAACTGAAAGTAATATCAAAATCATGTAGAATAATTTCTAAATGTTACGCATGAGTGAAGAGATCGTTCAAAAATGAAACTTTTTGGACCAAACTTTTTGCTGAGTACAGTCTGGTTCGGGTTAGAGCCCATGTGGCCGATCGACGTTGAATCATTCGTATTGTAGTCTACAATTTTCATGACAGGCAGAATAAATAACAAGGTAACAGAACAATGTTTTTTTTCAATACTTATTTTTCTTTCACGAGCCTGTATTTACACCTCAAATATATTACACACATTCTTTATGCTTGAATTTGTGACTGAATTTAGGAAAAATAAATTTCTTTAATGATAAAGGTCAGCATCACCTATCACTGTTACAAATTTTAAAACAACAATGTAACATAATAAAATAATTTCAGTTCTTCCATTTCTATGGCTAGAATAAACATTATCTGTGCTTGGGATGGTGTGAATAATGCGCCGTCTCGGCATTCTGATGTTCAGATTAAATCCTGCTCTATACTCCTGAGTAGTTCCTCTTCCGATGGGTCGTAAATTTGTTTTGTTGATGTCTCCGCAATTTCCGAGATCCTGTGGAAAAAATGATGACATCGTTAGCCAAGATATTAAGTTTAACTGTTACCAAACATTCGCGTAAGGGTTCGAGTCCCGCTGCGGCAAGATATCTATATTAGGCAAGATATTCATCTACATCTACATGTGCCACTTTCCACCCAGGGGGAGGGGGGGGGGGGTATGACATAAAGCTGTGCGTAGGTTACGCATGCCTTTACGAATGACTTGAATATGAAGAGCTAAATGGGATTCTCAAATCCTTTTAATTGCATAAGGTTAAGTTGAAATATGCAGATGTACATTAACCTTATAATTATTAACAAAACATATAAATGCAAAGTGTATTTTTGGCTAGATCTTGATCAAGATTATTGGAAATACAGTCTGTGTTAAAATGTCAAGAAAAACTTTTGGCCTCCCATTTGGCTCTTCGTATTCAAATCATTGTGTAAAGTCATTCGTAACTGTACGCACAACTTAATAAACCCCCCCCCCCCCAAGGTGAAATAAATGGGTACCCCGTAGGTATAATTTTTTTTAATGATTCAGCGCCGCATTTTCTTGGTAGCTCGGCTAAAGCCGGGGTAATAATATAATTGCAGGGCCCTCAGAGAGGACAGTATTTATTCTGATGACGCAATAAATCATAAGCACGTACAAGGCTTAAGGCGTTGTCATACATTTATATTCAGTCTTAAATATCTAAATCAGAAGTTATACAAACAACGGAATATAAAAAGAAATTAGTAAACTTTACATTTACATTAAATGCAAGAAATTGTTGAAATATTACACTTCTTATAGCAAAAATATAGACTTGGGGTAGAAAATGAAAAGATCATCGGAGGAAAAGAGAAGTAGCCCTTATTAATTTTAACCCCAAAATGCGACCTAGAGTAATTTTTCAGAAATTAATAAACAGCAGTGTATAACAATTTAGTTTAACTCTTATGAAAACAATTATTTTCATACCTTGGGTTGACACTACTGGCATCCGATATGACCTGTTTCTTCTTAGTTGATGAATAGTTCTTATAGGTTGTCTGACTGAAGATGTCTACCCCTTCTGTAATAGGTTCTTGCTTCGGGACGTTGACTGCTTGAAATTTTTGAACGTCAAAGTCTCCCCGATCCTAAATGAAAGTGAAAACAAAGGAAAATACAGTTATCCATCATAAATGTGATTCTTAAGATCAACAATATTTTAAATGGCGGTGTCAAAAGCGAAAGCCCCTCAAAATAAAGAAAAAAAGATACAACAACAACAACCACCACCATCACCACAACAACAATAACTACTACTATTATTACTACTACTACTACTACTACTACTACTACTACTACTACTATTACTACTACTACTATACTACTACTACTACTACTACTACTAATACTACTACTACTACTACTATTACTGCTGCTGCTGCTACTACTATTACTACTACTCCTACTACTGCGGCTGCTGATGCTGTTACTTTTACCATTACTTCTACTACTGCAACTAATACTACTACTAATATCTCTTCTAATGATAATAATAAAACACAATATTATGTATCCTTAATGTCTTTATCTCATTATTCAAGACAAGACGAAAACGGATGATTATTTCATAAATACATGATCATTAAAAAGAAAATATATTTGTTATTCATTGTGATATTCGTTGAGTGATTGAAAATAGTTATATTTGCGTATAAGTTATGCCTACAGTTTCATTTATACACCATAATGCTGCTGTCTCTTCGACTACCTTGAATCAATGTAAGAAATCTTACAAAAGCATGCTACTATATCACGAATAGTCAGAACTCTTTCTACATGTACATGTATACTTTTAATTGAAATCGAATATTACCAACATATGTATTGGCATAATCATGCATTATTTTGTGTCACGCCAATTCAGTACACTGCCACATAATGTATTTAAAAGTGTTTAGCTCCTAGCAATGTTATCGTTGAAATCATAATGATACAAACAATATTCTCTCATTTACTTGCCAAATGATAATGGTCACGAAGATCAACATTGTTTAGATCTCGAGAGTGAAATGTCTATAATGATAAACTTGCTTCTCTCACCCTCATCTTTTATATTCCAGTTAAGCAATATGAAGCGCCCACTGCACTTAAAACAATTATCAAGACATTTAATATATCATTTTAATCATCATTCACGCATACGAAAGAGGATTTTTTGTTTGGTCTATGTAAATGGCCCCTTGATATATCACACTCGTTATTTCAAACATGTCGAAGGTATTTGGGTGAAATGTGGTCCCATATACGTTATCAAAAATAAAGAAATCTATAGGAAATTAACTTCGCAAGTGTCTTTTCCCTTTCTATTTGATGTGATTGAAACTCTAGTAGCGCTATCAACTAAAACCATCGGGTGTACTATAATTATTATTCTGGTGATATCATTAACGTTTGGGACAAAATACCTTAGACTCGCTCTTGCTCTAATTTCCAACCTTGATTTTGATTGGCTGTTGAGCCCTGTTACCATGGTAGTTACCATAAATGGTAACTTTTATGCACCGGGGCCAAGGGTTTAGATATTACGATCAATGAGCGCTTTTGTCTAATTACCCATAGTGCTAAAAAAAAGGCTAAGACAAGCACGAACAATAAGAAAATGAAAGGGGGAAAGTGAGGAACAAAAGTGATACCTGATCGTCTTCCATGTCAAACACAATTACCGACGATTGTGTTTCTTCTTTCTTCTCCTCTTCCTTTGTATCCTGTTCGAAGGACCTCACTTCTCTCTCCAGCTTCCTGTCCGCGAGATCTCTCTCCTGTCTCACCAGGTCAACAGGCCGTACCCAGTCGCTATCACTATGGCCATCTTTGGTCGTGTCCCTGATAACAGGCTTGTAGTCTTGCGGTAGAGGCTGCAGCTGGTTATGCCTCTCAAGGGAAGCGATCTCTGCAGTACGGAGCACACCACCTGCAGGTTTGTTGTTCGCGTAGTAGTGCCCCACCAACACCTGATCTAGTTCGGTCCGGAGAGCGTCCAGTTCCTCCGTGACGCTCTTCGTACTCGAAATGGACGATGTTGACTCGGAAGAGGAAGTATCAATCCCTGCTCGATCTTTAGCCGGTATGCCATCGAGGATAGCATTTGAATTTAACCCAGGCGCGGTTGAAGACGACGTTGGCACATCCCCGAGGAGTTCCAAGTTTAGCGGAGTATGGAGATTGGCATAAAATTTCTCGTTCTTTATTCCCGGCAGAAGAACGTATTCTGGTTCTTCCGATTCCCGCCGACTGGCTCGACGAACTTGTGCTCGGTGGTTTAATAATCTGGTCGGCTGCTGACAATTTGAAACGACCGTAGATCTTTGATTTTTGGATGCCGCGGTCCCCATCTTCTTTAGTCACTACAACTTCCAAAATACATACAATTTATGCATTCCGTGTGTAAACGCATCCATAACAATCATGTCTGTGTGCATCTCACAAATAAACGAAACCCTTCAAGATACAGGATCAATTAACTTACATCTTAAGGACGTTTTCAGCACTTAAATTATTAGTACGTCATCTTAATTCCGGCGTAAACATTCGGATTTATGTTTATAAGTACAGGTATTTTCTCAAATGATTTATCTGTATTATTAAAATAAGTTAAAGTTTCGAGAAACAATTTATGCGCAAGCGGTCGGTTCCTAGGCGAAAGCATATTTTGTATGACAGTACGTTACGTCATAATGGTTATTGTGATTTCACAAAAACCGCGTTGCGCGCGCATGTCACGTGGGCGCGCTATCAAAACAACTAAAAATAGACCAAGTCAAGAGCTCTCTCCCGTAGTTTTCAAGGGATTCATTTATTTCCTGGCATCTCAAGGTGGTTTTCAATCTAATATTTTAATAGGTACATAGACGGCTCATCCACGGAAATGGTGTTCAACTTTTTGTTGTTGATTCCTATAGGTGAAATCTTAAGCTGAAAACAATGCCCAATTGATTTTGATAAAAATGAATGTGCCCAAAATTATTGTATGTTTAAGGGGATCACCATTGTTTTTATGCATTTCAGAGCGAATATTTAGGCTAAAAATTAAACTGAAGATTAATCCTGGTGATTGACCGAGTATTTTTAATATTAATTGGTGCAATTCTGGTGTCATGACCACACCTGTAATAAGCAGTTTTATTTTGAAAATTGATTTCGAAACAAATTTGTATCACTATCACTATCAATGTAATCTTTCTTAATTTCATTATAATGAAAATATAAACATATATAAAATCATTATAAAAATCACGAAGAATTCCTGCATGACCTACCTATTGACAGCTTTAAACAAAAATGTGGGGGGGGGGGGGGGGGGCTTATTGGATAGCCATCATCGGCAATGTGATATCTTTATGACAAAATACATTTAAAGGCTATGAATGGAGACACAATGCAATAACGCGGAACATTCGGAAAAGTTTGTATCAGTTTTTGATAAGTTTTGAGTACCTTTGACGGGAATGGATGAAGTAGAAAATGGCTACTCTCTACCCCCCCCCCCCCTCCTCCCATCCTTCTCATTCTCTCTCTCTCTCTCTCTCTCTCACTCGCTTACATTCTCCTCTTCAATAATTCTTTCTCCGATTAGGATCTCTATGATTAATCGATCCATTTCCTTTCTCACCTCTCTTCTGAACACTAGTCGATTCCTCTGATTATACCATCCCTCTCTATATCACATCACTATTAAACACTCCTCTTTTTACTCTCTCTGTACTACACGTTTGTCATGGTCTTTTGTCTGTAATTCTGGCAGGATAAATTATATATTCCATATTTTGATCATGATGTTTTACCGTATTTGATTGTGATTTTGTATTACTTGTAATTGCCAGTTGTCATTTTTTTTTACAATTTGTGGTACTGTTTACCTCATCATTGCAGCCTTGTACAGCTGCCATTGAAGTTTTTATCTAATAAACCATTGTGAATTAATGAGCGTCCACATTTAGAATAATTTTTTTTTTTAATGGATTGATATTTAGGAATAAGACGTCAGCCTCATCTAGCCCATTTTAAAGTTTGTAAATTAATACAAAAGTCAGGTAGTATTAAATCCTTCGATGTTGTCAGCAACTAATGAACAAAATACATGTATCTAGGGCTTGCCCTATTATGAAGAAGTATTATAATAAATCTCTTTAAAGTCCATCTTGATATTAAGTTGGTTTTAATAAAGCAGAAAAAATGACTCGGAGAGAAACAGGTCAGTGAATGTTTGAGCAAAATCGAATAACAAGTAAGGAATTTATGATTTGTGGAAGGTGCACTGCAATCAATCAGACACAAATTGGCAACTCTAAGACGTATTTTGCGAGGAACCCTCCGACTTACCCTGAACTAAAAATCTTCAAAACTTTATATTTCCTCTTGAGAAAATTTGCAATCATACATTTACCCTAAATATAATCATCGCAAATATATTTGTATACACTCCTTTATGAAACATATCTATTCCCTTTATCAATATCTAAGAAAATGAAAGTTTTGGATAGGAGCTTGCAAGATCTGTCCCCATGTTGTCAATTTGTGTTTCAATTTGTTTTTTCTACTTTTATTAAAACCAACTTAATATCAGGGTGGACTTCCCTTTCAATGACACACAGTGAAAAGAACAATTTACAAAATATTGCATTATGAGGAATATTGATGTATTTTTTATTCACAGGAAAAAACTGCATAGGAATATTGTCAAATATGATCACATTTTCAAGCATTTCTCATTAGTTCACAACATAAAAGTACAAGCCAATCTCAACTGAAAAAGAAAAAAAAAAGTTGTTATCACTCCCATCACCCTTATGTGACTCTAAAATCTACTATCATAGTAATCAAATGTTATATATAGCATTTTCATATTTATAATATATACATATCACCACAGTTACATCAGGTAATTGTACATAAACAAATATTTCTTCAATAATTTTTTTTTTTCATCATACAAAAGGAACACATAAAGCCCTGTAGAATCTAATTTCAATATAGTTTGGCAACATTTTTTATTATTTTTTTGCTAGTTCATATATAAAAATGAGGCTATGTACAAGGCATAATATTTATATGATGTAAAGCTCATAGTTACGAGAAAGATCCTCTTCAGTATATATAAATATATATACTTATATATATATATATATAAAGTAACCTCTCTATCAGCCTCCTCACATATCTTAATAATACAATTAAGTCTTAAACAATATTACTATTATTTCTATAACAACTGAAAAATACATACATTGTATTTAAAATTATGTTTATCCCAGTCAAAAGAAAAGTAATCTCAAGAATCCTAAACGACAACAACAAAAAAGTGTTACATTTCAGGCTTGTTCTATCATTTGTTTATTTTGCCATGCAAGTGTCTTGGAAGTATTTATGCTAACACTCGTTATTGGAATGTGTCTTCAAAATTCTGCTCTGTCTTTACTTTTGTCATAATAATATTGTGTACATGACAAATTATGGCATGTACAGACAGACCACTTCAATGTTACTGACTAAAATATATTCCTATGGCTGGCAGCCGTCTTTAAAAAAAAAAAATGATAGCTTCCGAAAAATTGTCAAAGACAATGTTTCCTCCATCTTCTTCCTATAATTATTTTAGTAATCTCAAAGAGCTAGGCAGCTAATCACAAAGAAGAAACATCTTCATTATCTCTGGTTTTGTTTTGATGAGAGACTACATGTCTTTGTTGATCAAGTTTACTGTAGGAGTGTAGGTAATGATTTTGAAATGGCTCATTACATCTGCATGTACATATTGCCCATGGTGAGACAGACAGAAACTGAATGGCTTCATGCAAATATCCTAGCATTAACGAAGCAGAGGAATATTGAAGGTTTCCTGGAAAGTGCATATGGCATCGTCATGGAAACGGGCAATGCAAATGGTTTCTCTTAACGTTATCTTATCAAGACAGGCATCAGTCGAATTGAAGGCCTTTTCCTCCCTCATGAAACCTCAAAAAGTGATTTTAACACTTTAATATTATGTTCTACGTTAGCATCAAAATGGGAAAAGTACATACATATGATCGATTTTAAGTAATATGTATGTATGATTTTAATGTAGGTTAAATGGGCATTATCCAATTTAATCTGCATGATCAGAGTTAAAATATTTCTAACTTTGTCAAGAAGCTTCTTCTACAGGCACATGTGTATGAGATTACTTGATCCTAAATGTTCTTGAATCACAAGAGCAAGAGAGCACATGTAAATCCATCTCATACATTTGCAGTAGATTAAAATTCATTGTATTAGACCAAAACAAGTACATGTACATCTAAATGTTTGCTTTTTACAGTAATGCCAGATAATATACGCCTGCAACTAGTTTGATCGAATTCTTGCATCATTATATTGAAAATTTAAAATCATATAGCATTATACATTGCTTTCTATGTAGTTCTTGAAACATGGTTGGATAAAATTGCTAACAACTTTTATTCAGTCAACTTAATATAAAACCAGATTATGCTTGAAGCTAGGTTCCCATAATAAAAAAGGTCATGAAATATGTGATGCACATGATTATATTTCTTTTTAAGATGGAAATTTAAAAAACAATCTAATTGTTAATTTTACACTCAACAGTTTTAAAACAGGAAGCAGTATTAACCAGCACACCCTATAGGAGAATAAAAAATGTTACTTTAAAAAGACAATTACAATATAACTCTAAAATAGACAGCCTAGTTTTAAAAAGAGTAAAACGGTACATGTAGTAGTATAGAATATATCACACAATTCAAATAGGCCATTTTCGTAATGTGATCAAATTTAATACACAAATCTTGATCGGCTTGTAAAAGTCATAGGATTCCTGACTGACCTAAAGGTTTATAATTATGATTGCAGCATGAGCTAGATCCAGGATTTTGTTTCGGAAACTGAGGCAATGTTACTGAGTCACTTTAAACAAAATATTAATGTCAGCAGAACTAACCAGCAATCAACATTGCAAAATATCATCCTTTCATATTTTGTTAGATTAGGTGTAAGTTTAAAGAGCAATTCAGATTTCAAACCACATGACATATACACAGAAGGGACGTTAGCTCTGTAAATCGTTGGATGAGATCCTGAAAGGCATTAACTCTGTCTTAGATTAGGAAAGTTAACTCGCTTTTGGCCCTGAGCAGACGAAATAGCGTCGTTGTTCTACCAGCGTTAAATGAATAGCTATGGAGTACTATAACCCTACTTTATTACATACTTCAGCATCCAAAAGTTGCAGCTGAGATTTAACTTGGGTTGTTTTGTATACAAACCACTAGACAGACTCATTTTTTTCAACTTGTTTTCCATGAATGAATAAAAATCAGCTTATTCATTCAATTATGACAGTTCTTTTTAAAATTTCCATTCAGCAATGCAGAAAATTTTGCCTTTGTGCACATTAAATTTCTCTTGAGGATTTTTGGGTGGTTTGAGCATTATCGGTGGTTAAAATAGGCTTGTGTTGAGCCCGAAAATCTTGAATATATGGCCTCTTTAAAGGATAAATTAGGTGAGTTGAATCGATGGAGTCTACAATTTGAAAATGATAATGACCTTAGCATTTTGAATGTATAGCAGATTATACACATATCATAGCACCTTCAAGTTCCTCGTACCAAAAATTAAATATATTACAGACAAACAAAACATGAAATAGTTCGACTTTGTTAAAATCCCCATTAAAGCTCTATAATCATGAAAATGGTATTGACTGGGTACAGTAAGATAAAGACAATATAAGTACTGCGCACAATACGTGCCATCAATTTTTTTTTATAGAACACTCCTTAGGATCTATGCATTGCATACACACACTTTAGATTCTTGTTTCACTGTCTAAAGCTGAAGAGCTGCCTGTACTGGACAGCCTGCTACTAGCGTAGGACACCGTGTCCGGTGAGCGCGGAGGGTTGTTGGCTGCTGGAATGTCTTGATCACTGGTAGCTGGATTGCACACATCGCTCTCCATGTCTCTCTCGCTGGAGTTAGGGCTCCCTTCGGCCCGCAGCGTCGAGTCGCTCATGCGGTCGTGGGAATGGATCGAGGAGTCGTCGCCGCCGCTCTGGTTGACGTCGCTCTGGGAGTGCGACGTCTTCAATCCCGTCACGAGCTTCTCCTCCAGCAGGCTGGGTTGCGAGGACGAGATGGGGAGTTTCTGAATGGTTGCAGTAGTGGCTGTAGGGTCGGCGGGGGATGTCGCAGAGGACGTGTCGGAGGACTCCACCCGCTGCGGCAGTGGTTCCCTCTGTCTCTGGTGGTACGACCCCCAGCCTCTCCGTCTCATGAACCCTCTTGGAGCAGGGTCGGACTCTTGGGAATGTTCTCCTTCCTCCTCCTTACCCCCCTCAGCAGCCGTCTTGGCATGCCTCTCCTCACGATACATCTCAATCAGCATATCTAACTTCCTATCAATGAGAGTCACTCTTCTCTCTACCTTCACAACACGCGACAGTAAACTGATATTAGGGTCAAATAATTCCAGGTCGCCTGCTCCACGACCTTTTCTCCTCTCCATGCCGGACTTGCCTAAGATTTGGTCTAACCTAAAATACAATGAAACAGAGATAGAGTATGGTATAACAAGGCTGTACATATACATGTACATCCATTCATTCATTTTATTTATTAACAAAATTTGATATACAAGAACTATACATTTGGTAAATAATATAATATAATAATAGTACATTTATAGAGCGCAGAAACTATCCAACATTAGGTATATATTCTACTGCGCTACAAGAGCTCCTGATATGCTTAGATTTACGGTACAGTTAATTAAAAAGATGTGTTTTCAGTTTTGACTTAAAGACGTTTACAGATGGTGATTTCCTGACTTCAAATGGCAAGTTATTCCAGAGTTTTGGGGCTGCACAAGCAAATGCTCGATCAACAGAGGTAGAAAATTATAATGCACCCTATTTTCGCTTTGCTTCCAGTATGACGAAACATCAATGGGATTACATGAATAATGTTCAATAATCATTGATGAGAGGAGAAATAAGAACAAATTGGATTTGGAAAATTTAGGTCATAACCAACTAAACTTTGAACTGGTCATAAAGATGAAAGTGATGCTAACAATCTCTTGTGAAATTACACTTTATGAGAGCTGCAGGCTTTGATTTTTTTGGTATTTTCTATTTTCTGCAAATATTGATTCCAAGCTTTCTGTTGATATTGCAACACTTACAACTTTATTCCAGATTGTCCATTAAAAGCCAATCAATTGTCCCATAAAAAGAGCATGGACATTTTTGATTTGTCACAAGAATTGTGTCTTTGTGCGCCAATCGTTATTTTTTTTTCTTCCCCACCCCTTTTAATTAAAAAAAAAAGAAGCTCACTAGGCATCTGCAAAATATTGTAGTTTCTGCTTGCCAGAAGCTTTTCAGACTGGTACCCCTCCCCCCTCCACTTCCATGAGAATCCTGGAGCCGCTCCTGTAACAACATACCTCGCTTGTAAGTTCTTAATCCTGGCCAGCATGTCTGCATGACCAGAGGAATATTGCTCAATGACATCTTTGACATCATACGGCCGGAATGCCTCCTTGAATTTCCGTCTTGCCACAAAATATTTGATCTTGCGTACGGCTCTGATGGCGTTCTTGTGCGCCTCGGTGAGCTTTGTTACACGGACCGGTGGTTCCTCATCATCTGGAAACGAAACAGAAAAGGTTGGACATGCCGTGAAATAATATATGAGAGGAATATGGACGAAGAGCATCACTACACCATCAGTACACCTTTATCTAGAATAGATAAGAAATAAAAGATATTAGTTTTAGAATCCTCAAATGATAACGAAATGAAAATAATTTTTACCCTCATTCAAATTCAAGAAACCATACAAGAGTTTGAATAATCCATCTTGTCAACATTTCATAAGAGAGATACACACTGCAGAGGTAAAGCCTTCCTCTAAATTTCCTGCTTGTAAATGTATTGCTCCAAGATCAATACAATGTATGACTTTAAAGTAATTCTATCCTTCACAATCTGATTGCTTTTTCTTTGGTGTCTAGACAATTGACTTTATTCTGTTTGCTTAATCTGTAGATATTCCCCTGTAGAAAAAGATCAGGCAAACAGACAAACATTATAACAAATACTGCACATTCATGTATTACAAAGAAATAGAAATTTCCTTTTGATTCTTGTTTCATTTAAGTTTTTTCAGAGTCCTTAATAACATGTACAAAACGGTTTATAATGGCATAGTTAAATTAAACACTAGTTTATGAGATTCAAGATTGAATGTCCTTATTTAATTGATCACTTCACGACTTGAGGTTACATGTACTCTAGTGCGTATATTATTTTATGTCACAATATTTATATATCATCTTGAACTAAAGAATGCACTTTTGTTGTGACATTATTGGTTAGTTTAAATAAATATAATTACTGGGAAACTGGAAAGCTGGTGGAATTTCATGAAGAACTAAATCACAATTTTGTTCTTAAGCAATGTGATATATCTGTTAAACAAATTTCAGAATTTTCCTGACACTTACCAACAGGTAAATATAAACTAGGAAGGAAAATGATAATGAGTGGCAAAGGTGGCGATGAAATTTAGAGGAATTGGTTAAAGCACAAATGCATTGAAGTTGGATGAAACTGAACTAGGCATCTTGCATCACTGCAAATATTAGTCATGTGCTAGATTGTCTAATTATGTTATGAAGTACCAACTTAAAAGAACACTTCAAGACACGATAAAAAAAGACGGCTATTGAAAAGTAAGCTCCAGCTGATCGGCTAGTATAGCATGCAAAACAGAAACCTCAAACGGTTGAAAATATTTACTCAGCAGAAGATTGCAAAATGTGAGCATGGGTCAAAAAACTAAAAAAGAAAAGATCTAGAAAACAGGGAAAAAAAGGATAATATAATTAATCTCAGTTGTGGTTCTGGTGAAAGGCTTATGACCTCATTCCACCCCCTCCCACCCCCCCCCCCCCCCCCCCCCCAAAAAAAGAGAAAATCAGGCGAGACCCCCTTCCCTAATTATTTTTGATAATGAATGAACTAAAGTGAGGTACATGTAGAAAACAAATGCATGAACCCTCAACCCCCCCCCCCCCCCCATTTAAACAATTATTTTAAAACTGCTCATTCTTGACCAGATGAATACTAAATCTGAGGATTATGAAAATCAGTTTTATACAAATATAATTGCATCATCAAGGTTAGGATAAAGGACAAATAAAAGAAGGACAAATAAAAGAAGGACAAATAAAAGAAGGACAAATAAAAGAAGGACAAATAAAAGAAGGACAAAGGAATGGGGCAAAATGAAATTATCAGTAACAGAGAGGAGAGAAAATGGAGAGAAAATATGAGCGGCAGAGAGAATGAGGAGCATGAAAAATAGAAACAAAAGAAAATATGAGGTAAAGGAGGGGAATTGATGGAAGGGATTGGGTATTGTAGAGACTAAAACACCAATGGCAATGAAAAAGAAGCTGTTGCTCTAGAAGACAGCTACAATTTTGTGATTAGATTGACAAAAAAAAACACCTCAAAATAGAACAACAAAATAATGAAACTGACAAAACAGTTAGTCAAATCAGAAAGATCCTTCTGAAAAGATTGAATATCTAAAACTCCACATCACAAAAATAAATTAGATTAGATTTGTCAAAGATAGAAGCCTTTAAAGATAAAGACCAGATCTGGTCATGCGATTGCATTGTGAAAGAAACGTTGTGGAATCGATCAGAAATGGTTGATCATCTAGCTTATAAGTATTGGTGTGTACTGCAAGGTTCTGGAATCATCAAAATGATAAGAAATTTGGCCCAGTCTTCGTAAATTTACAAGCACTGTACACAGAAAGATGTATATGGAACTATGCTATCTATCTATTTGGTCCCAATAGATAAACTTATTTACCAAATATATCAATTAGTAGGTGATTTCCCTGCAAAATTTTTATCATCATGTATTGGTCAAAACATATTCTTTCACATGATTGGTAATAAGAGCTTCCATTTCATTTTTTGAGAGGGGGGCGTTTCCAAAACTGGTCTTTACCTTTAACCAAACAAGGACAAAATCAACGCAAAAAAAGAAAGAGTTATTATTGCACATGTATACATGATAGTACAAAAAATGGTTTAAAATGGCAGCATATTAATAGATATATTAGTTGAAAAAGCCAAATCTGCATTGGATAGTAATTCACACTTGTTTATATCATTTTCTATTCTTTGTTAAATCTTTGGGTTTAATCTAATTTCTTAAAACCTACAACAGTTCATTTCATAATTATATTACAAGTTGAATTTGCTGCCCAGTAGAGAGCTCTTGAAGAACGTTGTGCCACTATATAATCTCTACACACCCCTCACCCCCAAACACAAAGACTCAAAATATCAACTTGAAAGGAAGTGAACTAGCAATACTAGCTATTTCAATTACATTATTGGTTATACCACTATTTCTATTCTGCACTTTTATACATTTAATTTTTCTTGAAACCTTAAAAGGAAGTAAGAGGGATATTGCCTCTGGTGTACAAATTTGCTGTGACAAACACTTATATTTGTTAAATAGTGTGTCATTCTTGAGCAGTCATGAATTTACATCAACAAATCTTTTTGATATCTAAATCAATTAATAACCCAACACCTTTTTCAAATATATTGAATCTCTTTGTACAGAGTTAAACAGGGCATGGTGGCTTTGTGGTTAGAGCGCCCGCCTCATGGGTTCGAACCCCGGCAGAGTCATACCAAAGACTTATAACAATGGGACTAAGCTTCTGTCTTCTAGCTAGGCGCTCAGCATATTAGATTGGAGTAGTAATAACATATTATGTTATGCAGGGCCCGCTGGAAAAGCAGTTTCATAACTGAAGTGGCTACCCTAGGTAAATAAAACGTTATTATTATTATTATGAGAGTTATTGTTTACAATGCAGATTTGACTAGAGAGAGAAGGCCTGTCCTCATCAGCTCGAGATTGCCAAATAGCCCCGCTATTTCTGAATTAGGAAATAATCCCGAAGTTACAGATCGCGTCTTCATCAGCTCTAGACTTGACCTCGAAACTTGAACCTCAAGCTCGAGATATTTTGCTCAGCGTTTGCGCCTCGTGCGAGTCTTCGGGCTGGTGAAGACGTTCCGGACAAATAGCAGGATATTTTGCAAACTAGCCCAAAATATCTTGGGATGATTATCTCGAACAAATATCCCACTAATTGCAACTACGAGCTGATGAAGACACAAATTAACTGGAAAATTAGCGATCGGGATAGTTCAAATAACAGGATATTTGGCAATCTCGAGCTGATGAAGACAGGCCTAGAGAGATAGAGATAGTTAAGGATAGAACAGCCAGACACCTTTGCCATGATGGTGATGATGAGAGTGGCGGAAACTGCGAAAGGACCTCATGGAGTCCTGCTCACCAAAGAGACCTCCGTGACTGCCGTTACTCAGCCTCACGCTCAGCATCGTCTTCTTCTCCTCGTGATCTCCGTCCTCACAGTCCCGGTCGGACTTCTTGAGACGTTCGCTGGTGCGGTGCATCATGGGGCTGTTGGCGGTGTTGTTGTTGCGTTTCATGGAGAGCCGAGAGATGAAGTTGTTGGACCTGAAGCTTTGGAAGATTTAAAGAATCAATATTTTGTTTAGAATTCTGTTTGAATTTTGTTTTTCATTCACTTAATCTGTAGAGGCATGCATCATACATTTAAAGGTACATTATTAGCATTTATTTACATATCAATACATCTTGAAGCTACAGCAAAACTTTGGGGTCATAAAATGAAGTAGATTATCAAGAATTACATTTGGCGAATATACACAAAAATATTTACATTCATGAATTAACAGACCCTGCATTATGAGATAAATTTATCAATTACATAGTCTGTTCTTTGAAAGAGCATTCCTAAACATGGAAAGGGGGTATGACCTCATTGCTCCTTGGCCCATTGTAATCCAGGATTATGCAATGTTATAAAAATAAAATGCATGATTGAGGAGGCGCGATGGATCAGTTGGTAGAGCAGTGGTCTCGTAATCCGGCGATCAGGGTTCGAAAACAAGGCGACGCGCTAGGTCTCTCGGAGCTGACCTAAAGCCGTCGGTCCTCTGGTTGCTTACTAACAAGCATTTATGCTTTCTTAGCAGTCAGGTTAAATGACCACCACTACACACTTCTTATTTTGATGATTATTCTTTAATTCTTTCTCTTTTTCTAAATGCTATATCGACTGCAGACTTAAAATAATCATGGTTTGTGTGACAAAGTTGATTATGACAGTCCACTGTGTGTCCCATTTGTTGACGAAGGCAGATACAGAGTTAAAGAATAAACAATATACACAAGGAGAAAAGCAAGAGGAACTTTATTTACCTGCCAGTGGTGGGGCTATGTACAGGTTTGATGTGCGGTTTCCAAGTGGCTGTAGAACTAGAGTTGGGATCTGCAGCATAACATCTCCACAGACACTGAAAAAACGATGCAATTATTAAACAAAATCAAGTCCATACTGAAACCTGGAAACTATTTGTATCAGCGAAACTTACAAGTCGTACTTGTTTTAAGACTTTGTGGCAATGAATTCATATTAGCAGGATAACAGACTTCAAAATAGGTCAAGAAAAAAGAAATTTTTCTGATTGATTCCACATCGTTTGTTTCACAATGCAATTGCATTACCAGAACTCAACTTTATCTTAAGGAAAAAAGCTTGTACACTCATGATCTTCAGCAGTGTATATCAAACTGTATTTATGAAGGAACAGAATGACTTATAGTCAACATTGCCCACTCCCCTACCCCTCGCACTCTTCCTTTCTCTGAAGCTCTTGATCGCAAAACCTAATAAAATGTCTTCAAAAAGACTGTAATTCATTCATGAGATGGAATTTTTACAACCTTTCAAGAATAACTCTCTTCACATCTATAGTAGATAGCAAACTTTCACATCAGTTTGAAGCAAATAAATAATGTATCCCCCCCCCTCTTCCTCCCCGCCTCCTCCCCCTCCTCCTCCTCCTCCCCCTCCCCCTCCCCCTCCCCTCCCCCTCCCCCTCCTCCTCCCCCTCCTCCTCCCCCTCCCCCTCCCCCTCCCCCTCCCCCTCCCCTCCTCCTCCCCCTCCTCCTCCCCCTCCTCCCCCTCCCCCTCCTCCTCCCCCTCCCCCTCCTCCTCCCCTCCTCCTCCCCCTCCCCCCGAAGCCCTTCACATAATACAACCTCGAAGAGAAAGATTTACAATATTCAGAAGGCATTTCTATACTGGTCATACATCAGTTACACCGCCAAACTGCCTCCAGACAGACTCTTTAATGGCCATTGGGAGTAATGTAATTGTTTGGACAGTCTGAAGTTGGTCTGATATCAGAAGTTGACTGGTTATGATACATAATTTCTTTTCTTCTAGAAGGCAATCAAAAAGCCTTGCTTCTGTCGGAAGGAACCAGATGCCACCACCAATGGGTAACTCTCTATAAAGGCTCTATTTATAATTTACCTCAAAATGAAATGTAAATAAATACATGACTGTAGATGGCAGCATACTAGCAGAGAGAAATTATTAGCTGGCCTTTGACCACATAATATTTTGTCTTTTAATCAAAATGATTGCTAGCTGAACTCAATATTGAGTATATGCGCAGCTCCTCAAATATCATTATTCATATGAGATATTATGGATATCTATAGGATTTGTTTGTATATTTTTGCAGTCATTTTGTCATGCTGCAGTCTCTTTAAACCTATTTTTGATTATTTTAGTTGGTTTAATGCTTATTGATCCGATAGGTTAAGACTTTCATCTGCATATATAATTATTTTAAAACTGTATCCATACATATCAAGCGTGACAAACCTGACTCTCAACTTAAGCCGTGATTCATGTATCTTAGAAAGATCGAAAGGCACATCGATGTTGTTTCAAGAGCTTCAATTTATTTTCCTTCATCATAATATCTTGGGTAAGCTTATGTTTTGTGGATTTTTTGACACTTTAATGCCTATTATATTGAAATTTCAATAGTCTGATCAGCATTTTGGTCATGTACATAGAATATTGTAAATTGCTTATTCTTTGGCAGTCTTTTTTTACTTCCGTTTCTGAGCATGCTTGGCCATATGAAGCGTGACATCTTCCTTGCAGACTAAATTTTACAGCCATAAAAAGACTTACCGTCTTCTGAACTATATCCATTTATTTCAGCATATAAGGTATAATGAAAAAAATGAAATTAAGTTTGTAAATTGTATTTTTTAGGTTCTTTATTGCTAAATATCAGTGTGAAATTTAATTTTGAAAAACCCAAAATCAAATATTAAAACCTGGGTATTCGCACGACGGTCGGGTACCGGGCGGGTCACCATTTCGACTCAGGCCTACTACATGTATATAGCCAGAGGTGTTTTAGAAAAGTGACCACACTAGAGATGAGTGTTACCTGGATGAGTTGTGCTGCTGGATGTCGTCTCCGAGCAAAGTGCTTCTGGCGTTGTTGCTGCTGGACTTGCAGAGCAAAACCAGAACCAAGGATACCCTGGAGGACGGCAGAATGAAAGAAAGAAAGAGACAAAAGTCATCAAAATGAATGCCCACACCCTGCAAGCATGGATAATAAAGAAGACCCTAAACTCTTTAAATTCAATCAATATGTCACTTCCATCTTAGTTTGGGTCACATTACATACTACAAATGATGTATTTGTTATAATTTTGTATTAAAGCCATAGTCATCATCATCATTTTACGAGGGGTTACTGACTTTCGTGCCATGATAAAACTTCCTCTGCCCACTTCTTGTCTGGAGTATCCTCCTCATTTAGACCAAACTTACTGCTTTCTTTCTCCACCATATCTTTTGATGAAATCTTTGGTCTCCCTTTCCCTCTATGCCATCCCCTTCCAGATCCCATGCTCTTTTCACAGGTGCATCATCTTCCCTTCTCAACACATGACCCATCCATCTCAATCCCTATCAACAGTTTGATTACTTTATTCATTTATTCAACTTTTGTTGGGGGGAGGGGGTAATAATTGGATCCTTTCCACTCAAATTTAAAACCTTTACACACATATACATGTAATAAGCTCTTAAGCTCTTATAATGTAACGCGTAAAAGCACATTCACAACCTAACAGGGCTCAAATTAATTTTTTGTCCATGGTGACTCTTCCAAAATAAAAAGCGCCCCCGTGAGCCTTCTCACGGGGGCTCTTTTAGGTTTGACGGGGGCTTTTTTATTAATAAAAATTTCCATTGAATTGGGGGTACCCATGAAACTCCTAAATTATTTGCTTTTTCATCATTATCATGAATAGCCGGCATTATTTTCCTCTTACAAGTTATAACATGCAGCTAATGGTCAGATCTCTTCCCTTTGTACGAAATTTCTGGTCCAAGCCCGTATACATTTGCCTCCTTTTTAATTTTTTAATTTTGCAATCGCCCCCGTGAGCACTCTGACGGAGGCGATTTTGTAGCTCACGGGGGCGAATCGCCCATCGCCCCCGTGTATTTTGAGCGCTGCAACCTAACACATATAACAACTCTTAGATACATGGAAATATTGCGTTGAAAGTGGGATGTATCCAGATTGTAACACATGTTTAGAAATCAGTAAATATGCTAAACAAACCTACATGCATGAGAAGTGCTTCAGAGCATGTTGTACTCTGTCGGTCTCTACACAAGCACGAGTAAACAACTTTAAAATTCATTGCCTTGTGATATTGGACGCATGGACAATCTTTCTCAATTTGTTTAGTCAATCAGCTTCATCAATGTTTGATTCACAGGGGGGGGGGGGAGGACTGAGTTCAAATTGAAAGTCTCAACAATTTTAAGAGTATTATTTTGATTCTACTTGTTTCTTTTTTACAATGTGTATGGGCTCGCAGAAAAGCAGTCTGTTTTGACCGATTGCGAGTTTGAATAAATAAATATAATACTATACTATACCATACATGTACTTACCGCAGGTAGAGCAAAGAAGGAAATCCCAATGATGGCAAAGATCGCTGCTGCTAGTTTCCCCGACCAGGAGTTTGGTGTTTTATCCCCATATCCCACTGTCGTCAGGGTTACCTACATGTATTAAAGATGGTATTTCAATGTTGATTATACTCTTCATACTGGGTTTCCAACACTCTATCTGTCTTGTTTGTCCATTTACTTTCTATTATCATCCTTTTACAGTCAAACCTGTCTATAAAGACCATCCACAGGAGACAAGAAAAGTGGTCTTTATAGGCAGGTGGTCTATATGTACAGGTTCCTTTAGTACATGTTTCAATGAGAAATCATTTTCAAGGGAAACCAAAAATGTGGTCTTTGTAGACAGGTGGTCTTTGAAGACAGGTGGTCACTAAAGCAGATTTGACTGTACTTGAGGCCTTGAGCCATGTTCCAATTTTCAAGAAGTTTAACCATGTAATCTTTTTTCCATGTGCATCACTTGCAAAGCGTACTATTTCTTGATTATTCAAAGCTCTAAAAGTATGGCAAATTCTTTCTTTCAATAGTCAATGCTAACTCCTAGTAGAAGCAAAACTTTTGCAAAACAATGTTTAAAATTGTCATGAATAAATCAAATCACAAATCTTGTACAGGGTACTAGTTATAAATACGTCATTGGGACAAATTTTCAGCTACTTTAGCTTTCTTAAAATTCATCAAACTACTAACTCCTAATTCTATTTCTACTTGTATCCTTTTAAATGTAGGCCCTGCATACAAAATAATTTTCTAGGAATCCATTCTATTTACTCTTCAGAACAAAACTCTTGTGGTCAGCCCTGTACAGAACATTAATACAGAGAACTTGGATCACTAAACTACATGGTGTTTTACCCCCTAGGAGTGAAGTAAAAAAAAAGAAAAAAGAAGTGAATTGATAATAGTAATTGCTCTATGCAAAACAGAACAGGACCAACAAGAGATTACTGAGGTACTCACCAGACCATACCACATGGCATCAGGTAATGTCTTATAATCATCATCGGGACTACCATGCTCCAATGTATACACTAAGAAAGACACTGAAATTAGGGCCAGGAAACCAATATACCACGTCGTCAGCAACTCCTGTAAAGATGATAAAAATTGGTGGCACAAAGGCACATTAACAAATCAATTTGGTTCAGAAAATATGGGAATGTTTAATTTTGGTCGTCCCAAAAGTAAAATATAGTTGCAAGTTCACAGCTAAAAATGTGCAGCGTGTACAATTTTAAAATCCTGTTAATAAAAAAAAAAATTAAAGTTGATGTTAAAGATGAAGTTGAGTTCTGGTCATGCGATTGCATTGTGAAAGAAACGGTGTGGAATCGACCAGAAAAGGTTGATCATCTAGCATATAAGAATTTGTGTGTATCGCAAGGTTCTGGAATCATCAAAATGATAGGAAATTTGGCCGAAATTTGGCCAAAGTTTGGTACAGTTACAAACACTGTACACAGAAAGATGTATATGGGACTACACAGACACGTGGCGTAACATTCCTACCCTGGAGTTTCACGATGTTACATGACATATTTAGAATATGAAGGCATTTGAAGAGCCATGTTTTTCAGGGAACATGTCTTATCTGATGTTCTTCCACACTTAAATAAGAATGATAACGCTCACAAATTATTTTTCACCTCTTCCCAGAACTCAACCTTCTCTTTAACCTAACTTCAAATATCACTGGTAATACAATAAATTTGACAGCAGCAGTATAAAAATCTTCAGCCATTTTGCTCCTTCAAGTGACATATTTCATGAGAACAAATTCATAAGATATTGAGCTACTAATTAGTGACTAAATTATAAACTAAGTTTTTAAGCTTGTGCAGATAGTAAAAGATATGAAATCCAACCTGTCTATGCGCCCAGACAACGGAGCCTAGAAGTTTCCACGTGTTGCCGCGCCGATCCACCCGAACCATGCGCAGGATTTGAATAAAGCGAAGACCACGGAATGCTGGATCGAGGAAGGTTCCATTGCTGCTGCCTATGACAATGATTAACACTGATGCTATGACTACAACAATATCTGTGAAAAAGATAAAGGGAAAAATCATTAGGAATCCATTTCAAATGCTTTGACAATAAAGAGATATTTTTTCTACATGTCATGACTTCACTAAAACAGCTTTCTATTAAAGACAAAGAGTGATGTAAAATCGAAGCCAACATACCTACGTTGGTTAGCACAACCTATCCAGAATTTGTTTACACTGAAATATACATTTTCAAACAGGAAAGTATCGATTTACTGCTACTGTTCTCCATGGAAAAAATCTTAATAGACATTTTATTATCAAGGAGATGGCAGCCCGTTATAAAACATCTTTATTTGATGTAAAATATGTAAATCATAACAGATAAGATTTTGAACATGGACACATTTAAATATGTATTTTGAGGTTCACCTCCAGTGAAAGTCTAGTCTATTAAAGTGGGACTGCCCTACTTGTACGAACTTGCTCCCTCTATACAGCCAACAATGGCTTAGCGGTGTCTGTTGATCCCCCATGGTCCCTTTTTTCCTTATGTTAATTGAGAGCTGATTTGATGAGATAACCGCCTGCCAGTGACCAAGCAGGGAGGTCTAAATCCCTACTTAGCAAAAGTAGACTAACTGTAAATTGTTTATTCTTTCTTCCTTCTAAAATGTCTCATATGGCTAGTTGATTCCCACAGGATAATGCCTATTCAACAATAATACGTGGTTGAAATACAAAAGAAACCACCCTTGCTTGAAAACAATATGATCGGAAAGAGTTATAATGACCTAGCAAGGACTCTAGAGGGAGTCCTTCAGCCAGGTACGGATCAATCCTAAACCCATTTTGTGGTTTCTTGATGGCATGGTTGCCATGGAAACCTTCATCTTCAATCCCACATACCTGGATTTCCACACAAGGGACTCTAGTTCCTTATTTCAACCAATGGGAGACCCTCACCACTGCCATTCAACTTTGCACTAAGCACACAACCTTGCATCATCGTCCATACACAATAAGCCCCTGTAGAAAGTATCCTCTGCAAACCTATCACTTATCATGGCCATGGGAATGGACCCCTTGTTGAACCCATCCTCTTAAGATTTCTCAATTAGATGATGATGCAAGCTCTTGAATTATTCATCTCTCATCTCCCTCCAAAGCAAACTTCTTTTGAGTAATTTTGTAATACTTTTCATAATGGCTTGAAGTTCTATTTCAAGTATGACAATACAGTTGGAATATGATTGGGGAAGAGGAAAACGAATTTGAGGCATATTCATAATAAGACGAGAAATGAAATCCAATTTCATAAAAGAAATGCCTTTCATACACAATCAGGAAGACTTTACAGGAGGTTTAAAGACATTAAATTAAAGGAAACCTCACCCCAATAAACAACTATAGTTATTCTGAAAGATTTATTGTATTCTTGCTAACAAGTCTACAAGATTCCCCACCAAAGTGTATGAGGGAGGCACAAAGCAAGAACAATGTACAGTTTCTCAGCACGACATGGATATCGCCATTTTCTTGATAATGTGACGTACTATGCAAAGTTGTTTATCAAGTAAATGTATTCAAATCTACGGATGCTTCCTTCCCAGGTGTGTGTGGTAATGAAGCATTCCATTCACCTGCTATCATCCTTAGTACTACAATTGCCAGAACACAAAATGCATGAATGAAATGGTGCCCTTCTTGGGTGTAGGTTTCGCATAAATGAAATAGTTTGTCACCTGCTGTATTTTAGTATTTTTAAATAAATGAGTTACAATTAATCCCCCGTTATATATTTTCATAAAGCATGATTTTTCTCTCTTTAAAAAGTGTAGGTTTTGTTAAAGAATTAAAAAGGGCTTCAAACTAAAGCTTGGTGCATGTAATACACGAGTACAAGTTTGCCTGGTATGTCATATTAACAAGAAAATAGCCGCGCCCATATCATGAGTAAAAGGCATTACAACATATCAAGAATATCTTCATTCATATGTTATCTCTTGTACACTTTCAGCAAGGAATGTTATATATCAAAAAGCAGGAATACATCTCATCTTTCAGCATACCTAGTACATTTAATTTTTGGGGTGAGGTTTACTTTAAACTAAAAGAAAACTACAGAAAATTATACAAATGAAACTTGAAAAGAATAGTGTAATATCAAACAGTGTAAAAGTATCTGACTTGTAATAAAGCTTACTTTACGAGAGGAATTCCCCGAGAGACAAATTTTAATCTGATTGCTGATATCGTAGTAATGCCAGAGGAATATGATTTCAAACTGCTGCTATAGTTCCGTTTTCATATTAAAAGAACTATACTTTAGGGAAAAGAATTAACTACGGGATTTGGTTCTCTTCAAGTAATGTAATTGCATTCGCTCTGGGACTCCTACAACCATTTTCACTGCGGATTTGTGAAGATAAATAAAGATGGCTGGCAAAAGCTGAGAGCAGAGTAGCTCACTCAGAAACCTTGCCCATAGGTCTATATCTCTTAATCACATTGAGGGGACTTAGATCCGATTAAGGCATCGTTGTAATGTCGTTACGAGTAAAAGGATCACCAGCCTGATAGAAAAATAGCCCAGGGTGTGGAAAAGAAAATAGCTCAAGTTTTCTTGTCTCAGACCTGATGGTGACAAGCTGACAAATAGAAACCCTTCTTGACTATCGCTATGCAACTTGACCTAAGATTGCAGACTAAATCACCCACGCTCCGAAGAATAGAGCAGGATTAAGTGAGAAATAGCCTTTGGGATTAAACTAATGAGGCACTCAACCTGTAGACGACAGTCGGATCATTAAGCATTTCCGCTTCAAATTGGCAATTTTGGAATTCCTGTTTCCTCCATGCATTCTTAACCCGTTGGCTACTGAATTATCTAATTTCTATAAGCTTAACACAGGGACCTCGAGGTTCCAGTTGGCAAGGGGTTAATTACACCATCAACTTTAAATAAAACACAACAAATGCTGAATGGCATTGCACCTAAATAACCAGCTTACAAAACTCTATGATATTTCAAGAGGATACAAAGCCTAAACCTGAGCCTTCTACATGGACCGTGTTACATTGTTCCTACGCCCCTTTCATACCATCTTCTCCAGAGCACACGTAGTGATACTCTAGTCATCAACCAAAGAGTAGTTTACTGTTACTTACCGAGTATATAAAGGGGTCTTCTGATGAACCAGCCTTCTACAAGGACGGTGTTACAATAAACCTACACCCCTTTCATACCGTCTTCACCCCGAGCTCACCCGGCGATCCTCCAGTCATCAACCAAAGAACAGCTAGGTTACTGTTACTTACCGAGTATACAAAGGGGTCTTCTGATAAACCTGAGCCTTCTACAGGACTGTGTTACAATGTACCTACACCCCTTTCATACCGTCTTCACCCCGAGCTCACCCGGCGATCATCCAGTCATCAACCAAAGAACAGCTAGGTTACTGTTACTTACCAAGTATACAAAGGGGTCTTCTGATAAACCTGAGCCTTCTACAGGACTGTGTTACAATGTACCTACACCCCTTTCATACTGTCTTCACCCCGAGCTTACCCGCTGATCCTCCAGTCATCAACCAAAGAACAGCTAGGTTACTGTTACTTACTGAGTATACAAAGGGGTCTTCCTATAAACCTAAGCCTTTTACAAGGACGGTGTTACAATAAACCTACGCCCCTTTCATACCGTCTTCACCCCAAGCTCAACCCGTGATCCTCCAGTCATCAACCAAAGAACAGTTTACTGTTACTTACCGAGTATACAAAGGGGTCTTCTGATAAACCTGAGCCTGCCATAGTGACCTTGGTAGCGGCTGCGGCACCCCGCAGACCAGATACGAAGAGTACATTCTGTGCTCAGGATCAGGACAGCAATTATTTCCTACAAGATTTAAAATATCAAGAAGTTTTAAAATATAAAAACAGTGAAGTCGTGCATCGTACATCCTTAGGTATATATGACATTTGGAAAATGGATAATAGTCCTATTCATAAGCAATCATTTCCTACAAGAAAACATCAACAACAAAAAACAAAACAAAAAAAGTGAAGTTGTGCATCGTACATCCATAGGTATAACATTTGGAAAATGGATAATGGTCCTATTCATAAGCAATTATTTCCTACATGAAAACGTTTTTTTCTAATTTAAAAAAAGTGAAGTGGCGCATCGTACATCCATAGCTATATAACATTTGGAAAATGGATAATAGTCCTATAATGGTCATATACAGGGCTAAAATGCATTAGGGATTCATTAGTTTTCCACTCACAAAATCTTACTTTCATGCAAGGTGAACAAGAAGAACCCTGGTTTAAATTGAAAACCATCTATTTTTAATGTCATCAATACAGTGAGAGTTTTTATTACATAACTGTTACATTAGATGCTGCTTATAAGTATCTGCTTGCAGGGTCATGTAAATATACCGTAGGCTTATGGTTGCACCATATGAGAGAGAGAGGGAGGATTGGGGAGTCCTGAAAAGGACTCTTGGTAATCTTTCTTTCACAGACTCAAGAAAGAAAGATTACCAACAGTCCTTTTTAGGACTCCCCAATCCTCCCACCCTCTCTCACATGGTGCAACTGTAAGCCTACTGTATACCTTTTACATTATCATTAACATATTTCATATCATATTGAATGGACTAATAGTCCCCTTTCAAATACTGGAGGGAAGACAAATTCTTTGTCATCTATTAAACAAGAGTGTATTATATAATATTCTCCAATAAACCAGTTTGTAGATGTAAACTGTAAGGCGAGGCGTCAAAAATATCGATACCAGCAGGCTGCCGCCTCACGTATTGGCGCATCGAGGCTGCAATTACGGCCGAAGCCTGGCTGGGGCAATTATTTTTCTTTTATTAGCCCAGCCGGCTTGCGCCAGGCTGGGATCTGAGGCTCGGTTTCCATTCGAAAGGCGGCAGCCGGCGCATGCTTTTGAATGCCATTTCCTACCGCCAGCGGTAGCCGGATGAGCTAATTTAAAAAATGCAGCCAGGACGCACAAGTGCAGTTAGCTGCCGCTGGCTGGTATATTTATTTTTGACGCCTCGCCTAACCTGTATCTCCACATAGGGGACGTAAAGGTCTAGTTGCACCATATTGTAAAACCTACTGAGATGCTTCATACTGGAAACATGTTCATAAAACTGTCATGTATGAAATTATTGTTCATGAATGCATCAACAAATTCCAAGAAACATTGCTGGGGGTATTATTTTCCAAAGGGCAATCCAAAGCTTTCCATGAAGTACCTTTGTCACCTCTTGGAGCAAAGACATAACATGTGACCACACCCGGGGAGTGTTTCACAAAGATCCTAAGTCGAACTTAACTCTAAGTTGGACTTAAACATTATGGAGAGCTATTTGTAGCCTTAAATAAAATGTATTCAAAGTGAGAATTCAAGTATTTTAGACTTCATAAATTCCACATCACGAACATGAAATCTCCTTGATAATAGAAGATATGAATGATTTGTATCAACACTTTCAAAGATACTAACGGCTATAAACCATAATTGTTAAGTCCAACTTAGAGATAAGCTCAACTTAAACAATGGTGATTTTACTTACCAGTATAAAAACTATGTGGTTGCAGAGCATTGCTAGAGTAGGATTATCAACAGTGGCAACTATGCTTACACCAAGGCACGTAAAGAGTAACAGAAATCTGTAGGGAAGAGAGCAAATAAAAAGGAAACTATATGCTTAAAAGAAATTTAGACTGACATAAACTTTGAGTGAAATCGGCACTGGAGAAAGCATGTGAAAGATGAGAGACAGTAGCGTAGCGTGGAATCAGTCATTAGGGGTGGGGGGGGGGGTGGCACCAGCCTTCAGTTTACTAGATGTTTTAGTCACAACATCCTTTTAGAAGTTAAAAAGTTACAAGTCACACCAATCCAAAATACATCAAAAAGGATTTGTTTTCCATCCCTCGTATACATTGATGTACAGGCACATTTTTGCGTGAGAGCCGTGAGGGCCTCTTGCACAAAAAAATATACTATTCTGATCTCAAATATTTCCTGCAGAAAAAAGGGTTATAAGCATACTGATCATAATATTTTATTGCATCATTTTATTATGCATAGATGAAGACTCTAAAACAATCACACATAACAATACAATTATATATATGTAGGTTTTCATTCCAATGGATGCTTTGAATATTAACTTCTTTTATTCTTTTTCTTTTTTAGCAGATGTTTCTGCATTTATTGATAAATCAAATATAAAACATTTCAAATAACAATAATAGTACATAATATAATTGATTTACATAAAGAGTGACAACTTAATACACATGAATAAAAATGCATAATTGAAAGCTTGAAAGTATGGGGGTAAGTAAATATATTCAAGATAAATGCAGAGGCCAACTATCATAAGCAAAGATGCTTGATTCGATAGCAGCCGGGAAGGGGGGGGGGGTACATGGCGTTGTTATAGGAGTAAGTAGGTGAATAGAAAGTCACGTATAAAGATTTTGTTTAGAAAGTATCTGAATAAAAAGTTGAAAGAAATTAAAGAAAGAAAAAAAAATGTGCAAGTGTGTGCAAGTGTGTGCAAGTGGGTGTGTGCAGGTGAGGCAAGTGTTCGATTTGTATTGTTAATGAACTGGTCATAATCAAAACCTCTGGTCATAATCAAAACAACTTGCCACTTGTATTCAACCATTTTGAATAGAAATGAGATAAAACACCAAGTGATCTCAAATTCTCCTAAAATGACATTAAACGACCACACATGCCATTGCGCCAAAGCACAAATAGAGTTTCTGCAGAAATTGCCATTTATCACGACAGGCCAGAAACGGTTAAAACCCCAAGCATGCATGCAATTTCATTGGCATTTACTTTGCTTCTATACGGAGCTTGGTGTTTTAGCTACAGGTTGGGCTTTAATGGCTGCTGCATTAAAGCCTAAATACCCCTATAATGGCAGCACGGGTCACATTACATCTGCAGATAATTGGGTTTGGGGCTCACAATAACTCACGATTCTCTGCACTGCGATGATATTCGACACCTCACCACTTGGTGCGGGTTTAACCCTTTCTTTGCTAAGTGGAGGAGAATGATTTAATTCAGCCCCTTGAACACATTGTTTCAGGGTGATTGAACCATCTCTTCTAAATGGACACACAGAGAATTCAATATTCTCTGACCAGTTTCCATACCAAATTCAGTGATTCCTTTATTTCAAGATATATTTATTAAATTTCTATACAATATATATATTTCCACTCTAAAATGAAGTTTTGATTAAGGTTTGTTTTTGTTATAGGTTGTTGGAAATAGCTAGATATTATGTAAATACCTCAGCAAGTCTGACATTTTCTTATACAATATTTATATCATTTTCACTCTCTGTCCTCAGTATGGATTGTGTTGCAATGCAAGGTCCAATACTGTGTTCATCATAATTCAGTGAGATTATTATTATTATTTTTTTGCCCATCATCATTTTATCATCTATTTCAAAGTTTACAGACTAGATTTAATCGAACATTAGATTAAGAACCTAATATGTATATTATTTGTTTAGTCTCATAACAGAGATAAAAATGTATATATTTTGTAGTATACTGTTAGGTTTATTTCAATGAGAGGGAGAGAAAGAGAGAAAGAGAGAGAAGAGAGAGAGAAAGAGAGGGAGAGAGGGAGAGAGAGAGAGAGAGAGAGTGAGAGATTGCTCATGCAAATAACAAAAATCTAATTATTGAATATATGAATATTCCTTTTAAAAGAATCATTCCTTTGGCAAAAGCCAGTCAACCCAGCTACCCTGTTGAATACTAGAATTGAAGCCTACTGTGAACGGCCCTACATATGCTACACGTTGGGAGCAGGTGGAAACCTAGATTGGTTTCTAGCTTTCGAGGTGCTTTGGTGTTCCTAAATACAACCTCCAGTAATTGCACTGCAGATGCCTACTAACGCGTTACTAGCTCCCTCATCAATACACCTGACACATTGTGAGAGCTGGGGACATAAGGGAGATATCAAATTAAAGAGTGTCCAATTTTAGGAGTTTGACAACTTTCTCCTAGTAATTACATGCTGGTGTCACTGGCCACTGAATAATTTAAAGGTGCATACACTGTATATACTAGTCCAATGCAGGGGGGGGGGGGCACTGGGGGCATGTCAGAGAATGTTTTAGGCACAACATCATTAAAAAAACGACATAAAAAAGGTGATGAGACTATATTTTTTGCCCCCCTGCACAAAAATCCTTGATCACCCACTCCTCTTCAATATTTTTGATCATTTCGTCCTTGTTTTCACAAAGTGACGGTAGTGAGGAAAATCGTAACGCAAAGTGAATGCAATTTTCGTGAAAACAGCGACGATTTGATTATGCTATGAATTGAAAATGCTGGATTTCAAGATACATAGGGAAACAAAATTGTCAAAATATCTTTATCTAAATCATTTATATAATTTATATTTCTGTCCATCAGTAGGTGCAAAACAAATGGAGGGGGAGGGCCAAAAGTGCAAATATTGCATTTAACACCCAACTTCACTAATATGAAAGCCATCACCTGTGTTCATTTCAATATTTTCAGAAAATATCAGAGCATCTCCTCAAGACTCTTCTTGGGTAGCTTGAGACACCCCCCCCCCCCTCCCCCAAGAGAGAGAGAGGGGGAGAGAGAGAGAGAGAGAGATAGAGATAGAGAGAGAGAGAGGGAGAGAGAAGGAGAGGGGGAGAGAGGGGGAGAGAGGGGGAGAGAGGGGGAGAGGGGGAGAGAGGGGGAGAGAGGGGGAGAGAGGGGGAGAGAGGGGGAGAGAGGGGAGGCTTGAAAGACTACTTTTAACCATGATCACTCTCTACTCTATTGATAAAAAGTCTTCAGTGCTTTCTACCTTAGATGTGAAGTGAGTATAGACATGAGAAATGTATTTTACCATGGTATGGATGTGCTTGTACACGATTATCTATTCATAATTCTAATCAAAGGGAGTGATGGATAAAAATCATCCCTACATACAGCAGATAACCACACAAGTCTATGCCCCTATATTATTATGCCTTTGGACTACATTCCACCACAACAACTGGTGTACAGATAATTCAAATTCACAAATATCATGCCAGTGTAATGCGATGACTAATGCGATCAAAACACTTTCCTGACTTCCAAGTTGTCCTAATTAATCTGAATAGCACTCTATCATTAATCATCCCTTTTATGTCGCGCTCCTACACCAATATATTCCTCTTTGAAGTGAGAGATCTACAATAACAACATCAATCAGTATTCAAACACCGTTATTAAACACTTCCCCCTGTATACATCAAACAGAATTCTACTACGGTAAATTGACAAAACGTAGTGGTATGAAAAGATGCGTCCAGACTGCACAAGGCTGAATAGTGCGTGATTGATGTCAGTGAATTAAATGTTTTCATTTGACATAATGAATAAAATTAGGGGAAATATAAAGCCTTATCTAGGAAGTATATCTAAATACCAGCTCCATATTCCAATGATGTGGTTCTATATCGATGTAAAATATTTTGAATAATTTGATTATCAACAATTGTGCATCTTACATTCCAGACTCATCTTTATTTATGTGCCACTTCATTTTGCATAATTACATTAGGTGACCTTACATTCAAGAATTTTGCCAAATTATTTGGGATCTTAAAAAAAAAATAGATCTGTGAAAAAACATTTTCCAGGTTATGCATGTCAAAGAGAAACACCAGAGATGTTTAAATGCATCATCATCACCTACGCCAGGCAACATCTATACACATTGCAATAAGTACATCATTGGTAAACAGTGATTTGTTGTAACTATAATATTTCTCTATCCTTTCAATACAAAAGCTTTAAAGAAAATATTAATTCAACATAACTTTCAATAGGTTTGTGGCTGTCTGTCAGGCATAAATATATCGAAACATTTTTTTCCTTCCCCAGACCTCTTCTTGGTATTTTCAGGAGTATTCATTGCAATGATAAGCCCTCTTTGGGTCATACATGTTTGAAGGCAACAACAAAAATGACTTAACATCCTTCAGGGGTCTGTAAATAAATCATCTGCTCAGAGCAAGATGGGCCTTAATTCATCCCTTCTGGCTCCATACAGACAATATAATGTATCTAATCTCATCCAAGATCACAAAGAATTATGTGGAAGGCATGGCAATTAATGATATATACTTTCACAGAAAAAACGACTTTGTAATCCACACTTGAGGTTTTATTACAAATCTATCTATCTCACGCATTGATTAGAGCAAAGCTGTCTTATTGCTTTATATTATTACATTTCAAGGCCAACAGCATAGGGAATGAAAAGACAATGGAGAGGAGAGAAACGGGGTTAACCTGTAGGACGATTGGAAAATTAAGAAGAGAGAGAAGGATTAGGAAATGATGAAGAAGAAAAGAGCAGATCAATGACGCAAAGGAAAAGGAGGAAAGAAGGAAAAAGATAAAAGATGGGAGAAAAGGAAAAGAAGAAGAGAAAAGTAGAAAGAGCAAAGTATCTATATATAAAAACAGTGAAGAAAAGACAGAAGAAGAAAAGAGAAAACAAAGATGGATAAAGGCAACCAGATAGAAAGAAGGAATATGGCCAGACAAAAAGGAAATAAAGAGAAGAAATATAGGAGTGTATAAAATCGAGAGAAAAGACATAG